CGCCTCCTCGAGAGTGATCGGGAAGAGTGAGGGAAGGGGCTCATAGGGCATCGAACGCCCCCCATGCTCCTGCTGATGCCAAGCCTTCCATCCTGCTAGGGACATGGTCTCATAGAACACAGCTTCCACAGTGGTGATGAGGCGGTTGGACTCCAAGTCCAGCACGGCCCAGCCCTTGCTCGCAGCTGACACACCCAAGTGCAACCCCCAGCGAGCCTTAGGCGCCAGCTTCCCCCCACGCTGCGACTGTGGTACCATGTACTGCAGCATGCAGCCCCAAACACGCACCATACTGACATCAGGTTTGCGTCGGAAGGCGAGCTCGTACGGCGTCACACCAGAGGGTAGTGAGGCGTGCTCCACGCGGTTGCGCACCCAGACGGCCTGAGCCAACGCCAGGTGACACCAGTGATGCTGCACACCCATGTGCAGCAACATCGTCCGCACCGCCTCCACAATGCTGCGCATCTCCCTCTCGGCCATCCCGTTCTGCTCCGGCGTGTACGGGCATGTGAGGTCATGGATGATGCCTTTACCGTCGAGGAAGAGCGTGAAGGCGTGCCCCAGGAACTCGCCACCCCGATCAGTGCGCAGCGCCTGCACCGTGGTCTTGCACTGTCGCTCTGCCATCGGGAGCCACTTCTGGAACGCCGCCAGCGCATCACTCTTCTGGGCCAAAGGGTAGGCCCAGACATATCGCGTCTTGCGATCCTTCAGCACCAAGAAGTAGCGGCTGCCGTCCTTAGCTGCTTCACGGAAAGGGCCACACAGGTCAGCATGCACCACCCCGAGCAACTCATCCTCCTCCTCTCCCACAGAAGGAAAGGTATGACGAGTGATCTTTCCCCCAACACAGGAGACACAAGGTATGCCTGACTTGCCCCCCTTCTCCAAATCCAAGCCCTTCACTGACCCGTGAGCCGCTGTGCGCTCGATGGCATCAATACCAACGTGTGCCATACGCGCATGCCACAGGTCCCCCTTAGACCGTACGCCCGTCGCCAAGGTACGAAGTGCCACCGTTTCGCCTTCCTGCTGCTGCGTCGAACACGGCTGGAAGTTCGTGCAGAGAACACGCCCCTTGAACTCCGCACGACCAAGGAGCGATCCATCTGGTGCCCTCAGCAAAGTCACATCCCCGGCATCCAGCAGCTGCACACCACTATCACGCAGCTGCCCAGCAGAGAGAAGACTCGCCTGCACTCCTGGTACGTACAGCACGTCCGGCACCAAGACACGCCTGCCCCCCTCCCCAAGAAGAGCGACTGTGCCTCGCCCCTGCACCTCCTGAAGGGCGCCGTTGAAGCCGGTAACCTGCTTAATGCTGCTGCCGCTGCTCATCTCCACAAAGGCAGAACGATCTCCCATGAGATGGTGGGAGCATCCGCTATCAAGCAGCACGACGCTCGGGTTCGCCTTCACAGCAGCTGCAACAGCCTGTAAGCCCTCCCCGGCCTCAGGCTCTAGCACAACGAGAGGAGTCTGCTCCACAACTGGCTTCACCATCGCACATGATGACTGCCCGCTCCCCTTAGAGCCATCACCCCCCTTTCCGCTGCTACCTCCAGAACCCTCTCCACCGGTGTCTGCCTCCTTATCCGCCCACTGCTGACAGTACTTAGCAACATGCCCTATTTGTCCACACACATAGCACTTCCCCTTGAAGCCCCCTTTCCCCCCCTTCGGCTGGCCATCCTTACCCCCTTTCCACTTCTCCCCTCCCCCACCAAGCCCACCCCTATTCTTAGGCTGCTGCTGCTGTGCCGTAGTGGGAGGGGAAGGGAATGAAGTCTGCTGGAATTGGGGCTTACCCTTCTTGGTAAAGACCTGGTTAGCCTGGGGAAGAAATTGGTCCTTTCGTCCCTCTGCCGCCAGCGTACACTCCTCCTCGATGATGTAGCTAGCGAGGGTGTCCTCGTCCAACTGCTAGCTGTGGAATATATTAGAGAGCGTAGCGATAACGAGAGAGTCTCTGTTATGGGAATGATGTTGCGCCAGCAACTTGGTAGAGTTTTGGTAGCGTTTGCCTCTAAGGACTTTGTGAGAATTGAAGTAGCATTTGGGCCAAGTAGAATTGCAATATCAATTATCAAACACACAAGCAAACACAAACATATATAGGCAAGCAAGAGTTGCACAATTGTTGCGTGGCGCTGCGAGTAACCCAACCCACACGAAAGTGCTGTGCAGGTGGGTGAACGCGCCCCGCACATTTCCGACCCAACTCGGCACCGGAATGTCTCACCGTGCACGCTACTCCTGCCAACACAGCAAGTGAGCAGCGTGCCTCACAAGCAAGGCACCTACGACCCCCAAGACTCGTCATTCCTAGCACCGATTCCGCCGAGTTCGCTGCAGTAGCTCACAGTCACCCGTAGTCACTAATGACCGCCACCGAACTCGTGCGTCGGTGCCGAGTAGACTCACTCGTTAGGCGCCGACCTGCCAAGTCAAAGGTCATCGAGGGCCCTTGCTGTCGTAGGGCCCTCTAACAGTCTGAGCTCACAACCATGATATTTTTCTAAATATTAATATTATAACTTTTCTAACATGCCTCACTTTCTGAAGGTAATCCTCTCTCTGCCGCGGTGCGTATGTTTCATTTTTATCTGCACCGAAAAATGATTTACGCCCCGCCGGGCGGTTGATAGAAAAAGTTACCGCCGCTGTGACAAGTAGTAATTATCATGATCAGTGCTGGAATTAACTCTTCGAAATTGCAAATCCACTGACGTATGAATGAACCTATAACCTCTTCGTCCCTCACCTTTGCTTCTCCGAATGTGACGCCCAAATTCTCACGATCTGGCAAGATCATCCCTTTCTTTTACTACCATTCCGACTCCTCATTTACTTCGAAGATTTGTCCTTCTTCTCTCTTCTCTCTTCTCTCTTCCTTAACCACATATGCCCTCTCATTCTCCCTCTCCCTGCTTCACCCTCGCTTACAAAGTCGCCCTTTTATCCTTTCTAACCCTGCTTCACTCTCTTTTTTTTTAAGCGTCCTCTCACTCTCGCCCTCCCTGCTCCATTCTCCCATCCCCTTTGTGAGTCTTGGCACGGTCTCTTCCAGAGCAAAAACTGTGTTAGAAAGGGAGGAATGCATCTTGCTCGTCCTCCCTGCTTCACTCCGTCCTACAGAAAATAAACAAGAAAAGAAAATGGGAAAGAAGAAAAGCTCTTTAGCTTCTCTCCTCCCCGTCCCCACTCCCTCCCCTCTCCCCCCGGCCCCGTTTTCCCTCCATTACCTTTGATAAAACATACTCATGGCAATACACAATCTACAGGTCTTCTGTACTCGCTACAAGACGCAACTACCGCAACTACCAACACAGCCTCGTTATACTGTACAAGCTAGTCGCACCCACGCGGCCATAGCTGTTAGGCTGTAAATAATCGTTACTACATCACCGCTACCTCCCCCGGGTGTGACCTGTTGTTCCGGAATGGAACACTCTAAGGACGGTCGACCGGTCACAGCAAAGCGGCATTGGCCGGCAAGGTTTGGCCTAGACGATGAGGACAACGGGGGAGGGGAGGAGGAAGGCAGGAGGATGGAAGAGAAGAGAGGGTGCGAGGCGAGGGAAGGGGAAAAGGGGAAGAGAAAGCAAGAGGGGGAGAGTGAAAAGCAGGAAGGAGATTTCAATATGGGGAAGGAAGGGGAAAGGGTGGAGGTAAAGCAGGAGGCAGCGGAGGGTGCAGAGCAGGGAGAGAGCAGCAGCAAGGGCGGATGGAGAAGGTCGGAAGGACTCTTAGAGCAACCCCGAGCAGCCCCTGGGCCCCAGCAGCAGCAGGCGGAGCATCAGAAGGAAAAGAATCTTGAGGCTCCTCAAAAGAGTGCAGAGCGGGGAGGGAGTAGCAGCAAGGGCGGATGGAGAAGGCCGGAAGGACTCTTAGAGCAGCCCCAGCAGCAGGAGTTGGAGCATCAGGAGGAGCAACAACAGCAGGAGGAACGGAAGGAGCGACAGCAGCCGTCGGATCAGCATAGACAACAGCAGGAGGTAGCCACAGAAGCATTTCTAACGCCACCATTGGGTAGTAGTATTAGCAATGACAGGGGTTCCGGTCTCTCTGACGTTCCATACGCGTTAGGGACTGCATCACCGCGAGAACAGAGCATTCTGGACGAGCAGCAGTGGTGGAAGGAGATTTTGGGAAGTGATATTGCCTTGGGAGCTTTGGCGGGAAATCTGGGTGATGATTTGATTGGAAATTTGGGCGGCAATGCAGTTGGGAATCTGGGCAGCGATCTTACCGAGATTCTGGGTAGAAGAGGCAATCTTGAGAGTGCAGCAATCAACAGATTGATTAGCAATGATTTTGCGGCTACATCTGGTGTAAATGAAGAGGGACTGCTGCTGGAACAGTCTCTTCTGCCGCAGTCCTTTTCTCAAAATCAGCAGCAGCCAGTGCTGTTGTCGCAGGGTGTTTTTCAGGCTCCTGTGATATCTCAGAGTCCTTATCCCCAGCAGCAGCAGCAGCAGCTGGAGCAGGAGCAGCAGCAACAGCAGCAGTTTTTTCTGCCACAGGCTGTTTTTGAGGAGAATCGAACGATGCAGGCCGTTTATTTCCAGGAGCAGCAGTTGCAGCAACAACAACAGCAGCAACAGCAACATCGGCAGCAGCAACAGTTGCAAGAGCATCAGCAGCAGCAGCAACAGCAGCAGCAGCAACAGCAGCAGTTGCAACAGGATCAGCAGCAGCAGCAACAGCAGCAGCAGCAACAGCAGCAGTTGCAACAGCATCAGCAGCAGCAGCAGCAGCAGCAGCAACAGCAGCAGCAGCAGCAACAGCAACAGTTGCAACAGCATCAGCAGCAGTTGCGGCAACAATCACAACAGCAAGAACAGCAGCAGCAGCAACAGCAGTCGCCGCCACTGCTGCCGCACCAGGCGCAGCAGCAGCAGCAGCAGCAACAGCAGCAGAAACCACAAACGCAGCTGAAGCAAGGGCAGCAGCAGCGGCAGCAGCACGAGTGGGAAGCTATAGCCAAAAGCCTTATGGACAGTGTAAGCGGGGCAGGGAGGGGAGGGGCAGAAAGAGGAGGAAATGGAGGAGGGAAGAGCCTAAGTGACGGGCAGGGAACGTGCGAGAGAAGGGAGGAGAGGAGGGTGGTTCAGAGAAAAACGGAGGAGGGTTTTGGATTTACGAGAGGAGCGAGTGAGGGAGGTAATGTGAAGCGAGAGAATGAGGAGGAGGAGGTTGAGATGGGAGTGAGTGAGGGAGGTGTGTTGGGGAGGGAGAGTGCGGAAGTGGAAGCAGCTTTGCAGGTTGGTGGTTTGCTGAGGCTCAGAAGTTTAGACAGTGGAGGAGGAGGAGCAGCAGCAGGAAGTGCAGCAGCAAGAGGAGGAAGAGGAGGGTCAGGAGGACCGGCATCAGGAGAAGCAGAAGCAGGCACAGTAGGAGGAGCAGCAGAGGAAGCATCAGCAGGAGCAGTAGGAGGAGCAGCAGGAGAAGCAGCAGCACGACTAGGAAGCGCAGCAGCAGTGGGAGTGGAAGGATTTGAAGGTGGGGGGAAATCAAGGTGCTTGGGACAAGGAGGCATGGCCAAGGAGGGAGAGAGGATGGTGGTTGGTGACATGTCACAGAGAGGGAGGAGTCTAGAGGGAGAGAGGAGCGGGAGGAGTCTAGAGGGAGAGAGGAGCGGGAGGAGTCTAGAGGGAGAGAGGAGCGGGAGGAGTCTAGAGGGAGAGAGGAGCGGGAGGAGTCTAGAGGGAGAGAGGAGCGGGAGGAGTCTAGAGGGAGAGAGGAGCGGGAGGAGTCTAGAGGGAGAGAGGAGCGGGAGGAGTCTAGAGGGAGAGAGGAGCGGGCGGAGTCTAGAGGGAGAGAGGAGCGGGAGGAGTCTAGAGGGAGAGAGGAGCGGGAGGAGTCTAGAGGGAGAGAGGAGCGGGAGGAGTCTAGAGGGAGAGAGGAGCGGGAGGAGTCTAGAGGGAGAGAGGAGCGGGAGGAGTCTAGAGGGAGAGAGGAGCGAGAGGAGTCTAGAGGGAGAGAGGAGCGGGAGGAGTCTAGAGGGAGAGAGGAGCGGGAGGAGTCTAGAGGGAGAGAGGAGCGGGAGGAGTCTAGAGGGAGAGAGGAGCGGGAGGAGTCTAGAGGGAGAGAGGAGCGGGAGGAGTCTAGAGGGAGAGAGGAGCGGGAGGAGTCTAGAGGGAGAGAGGAGCGGGAGGAGTCTAGAGGGAGAGAGGAGCGGGAGGAGTCTAGAGGGAGAGAGGATTGTGGTTGACGAGTTAGGGGCAGCAGCAGAGCAGATCAGGCAGCACAGGTCGCACCAACAGCCGTTGGATAAGCAGCCGTTGCATCAGCAGCCGTTGGATCAGCACATGTCACATCAGCAGCCTTTGGATTGGCACATGTCACATCAGCAGCCGTTGGATCAGCAGATGTCACATCAGGAGCCGTTGGATCAACAGCCGCTGCATCCTTCTGCTGCTGCCTCTCCTCATTCATCTGCCACTCCTTCTGCTTCCGCTTCCACTAATTTGGATACAGTACCCGCAGCAGCAGAAGGAGGGGGTGAAGCAGGGGCAGGAGCAGCAGTCGCAGGAGCAGGGGGAGAAGCAGCAGAAGGATTGGGTGCAACAGGAGCAGCAGCAGGAGCAGGAGGAGGAGGAGCAGCAGGAGGAGGAGCAACAGGGGGAGGAGCAGGAGGAGGAGGAGGAGGAGGAGCAGCAGGAGGAGCAGCAGGAGCAGCGACAGGAGGAGGAGCAGGAGAAGGTGCAGAGGAGGCAGCGGAGGGTGTTCTGCTGTCTCCTACTGCCCAACAATACCTGAGGCAGATTCAAATTCTGCACGTACAACAACAAATGCTGTTTCTCCAGCAGCAACAGCAGCAGCAGGAGCAGCAGCAGCTGCAAGAACAGCAGCAACAGCAACACCAGCACCAACAGCAGCAGATGCAACAGCAAATGCTGCTTCTGTTGCAGCAGCATCAGCGGTGGGAGCAGCAGCAGCAGCAGCAGCAGCAACGAGAACAGTCCCCGCAACATCAGATGCAACAACAAATGATGATGATGTTGCAACAGCAGCAGCAGAATCAGGATGCATCAGCCGCATCAACAGCTCTGGTCATAGCCTCTGGACGCTCCACCCAGCCTCCTTACCTTTCCTCCTGGCAGCCACAAGAACAGAAGCAAAAGCAGCAGGAGCAGCAACAGCAGCAGCAGCAGCAGCAGCAGCAGCAGCAGCAGCTAGAGCATCAGCAGGATTCATCAGCCGCATCAACAGCTCTGGCCACTAGACGCTCCACCCAGCCTTCTTACTTTTCTTCCTGGCAGCCAGAACCACAAGAACAGCAGCAGCGGCAGCAGCAGCAGCATCAGGAGGAGCATTCAGTTGCTTCAACAGCCCTTGTAACCCCCACCACAACCACCAGGAAACCCGCCCAACCCTCCAACCTAGCCTCCTTATACGAGTCGACTCAAAACACAACCACAACCACCGCCCTTGTAACCCCCACCACAACCACCAGGAAACCCGCCCCACCGTTTTTTGAGTCGAATCAATCCACAACCACAACCACAGCCCTTGTAACCAGCACAGCCAGCAGGAAACCCGCCCAACCCTCCAACCTAGCCTCCCGCCTTGCTGCCCTTCTCACCAATCTACAGTCACAGTCCGAACCTCCCCTCGATACAGTCACAAACAAGCACACTACCCCCAATCAACCACCATTAGCAGCAGGGGAGATGGGGGGAACAGCAGTAATCACAGCTGCAGGGGGGTTAGAGGGAGGAGGAGCAGCAGGAAGGGGAAGGGTAGGGGAGGCTGAGCAATTTTCCCTGGCCCCAGGGTTTGAGAGGTATGGGAAGGCTTTTCAGTTTTCTGAGGATTCTTCTTTTGTGGAGGCTGGGAGTGTCACTGCTGCTGCTGCTGCTGCTGCTGCTGCTGCTGCGGCGGCGGCGGCGGCGGCGGCAGCAGGAGGGGCGGCAGCGGCAGGGGCGGCAGCAGGTAGTGCTGGAAGCTTCCGAGAAGCATCGGAGCTGGCGGCGCTGCCGGCACCCCGAGATTCGGCCAATAGGAAGCATTTTCTGGATTCTGCTGACGTGTTGGATGTGACAAGAGTGGAGGCGAGTGTTCTTGTAACGAGGGGAGGACTAGGGGAACGCCGAGTTGCTTCAGCTGAGGCTGTAGGGGTAGAGTTTGGGAGAGGAGGAAGCGGCAGCGGAGGGAGCAGAGCAGTAGACGCACAGTTTGGAGCAGTAGACGCACAGTTCAGGGGACAAAGAAGCAGAATTCCCTCTGCCTCTCCACCCTCTCCTTCACCATCCTATGCTGCTTCGTCTTATGCAGCTCCATCCCAAGCCGCTTCCTCCTATGCTGCTGCATCCCAAGCATCTCCCTCTTATGCTGCCGCTCCATCCCAGGTTCCCCTACCCCCTTCACCTTCATCAGCACTTGCTGCTTCCCCTGGTGCGGTAGACAGAGTTTTTTCGGGCAGGGCGGATTCTTCGCGGGCAGATGCTTCTTGGGCGGATTTTTCCCGGGCGGATTTTTCTCGGGCAGCTTTTTCTCGGGCGGATTTTTCCCGGGCAGATGCGTCCGAGCCAACGCGGTTCGCCGTGCCTCGGGAGCTGCCCGTGCCTGGGAGCGAGGCAGTGGCAGCAACAGGAAGGTTCCGGTCTCCAGAGGAGTTTATGAGGAGGCAACTCACGGCCATGGCTGAGGCTGTGGAGAACAGAGACATGGTGAGTTGAGTTTAGATGAAGGGGTGGGCAATGGCAGTGCCTTGGGCCAAGGCACGCAGGCAGGCAAGCAAGCACCGAGGAGTTTATGAGGAGGCAACTCACGGCCATGGCTGAGGCTGTGGAGAACAGAGACATGGTGAGTTAAGATGAAGGGGGGGGCGTGGTGAGTAGGAGAGAGAGTGTATGATTAACAGGGAGGTTGAAAGGGAGGTTGAAAGGGAGAGTATGGTTGAAAGGGAGGTTCCGGTCTCCTGAGGAGTTTACGAGGAGGTTCACTGCCATGGCTGAAGCGGTGGAGAGGGGAGATATGGTGAGTAGGAGAGGGGAGATATGGTGAGTAGGAGAGGGGAGATATGGTGAGTAGGAGAGGGGAGATATGGTGAGTAGGAGAGGGGAGATATGGTGAGTAGGAGAGGGGAGATATGGTGAGTCAAGATGGTGCAAGAGATGGAGTGCGGTGTGCAGGGGTATGGCGCCCACTCAGCCAACCCTTATCTCTCCATCTCTTTTCTCTCCCCCTTTCCTCCTTCTCCCCTCCCCAGGCGCAGGTGCAGAAGGCATATCAAACCACTTGCAAGGCCCAAGGGGACGGCCAAGGAGAGATTGATTCACTATATGGTGGATGGTGGATGATGGATGGTGGAGGGGTTGTTCAAGCGAGTGCAAGGGAACGGGATACCAGCACTTCATCTCCTACCCCCCCAATTCTCCCCCCCCACCCCCCCTCCCCCCCCATTCTCCCCCCGACCTCCCCCCCCATTCTCCCCCCGACCTCCCCCGTCCCCTCCCCTTCCGCACCTCCTCAGGCACAACTGCAGCAGGCATACTTGCAACTCAAACCTCTTGCGCGGCCCAAGGGGACGGCGATGGAGAGATTGATTCACTATATGGTCGAGGGGAGGGAGGAATGGGAGGGGCTGTTCAAGCGTGTGCAAGGAACGGGTTACCAGCACTTCATATCTCCCCCCTCCCCCCATTCTCCCCCCGCCCCCCACCTTCCCCTCCCTCCTCCCCTCCCCTCCAGGCACAACTGCAGCAGGCATACTTGCAACTCAAACCTCTTGCGCGGCCCAAGGGGACGGCCATGGAGAGATTGATTCGCTATATGGTCGAGGGGTTGTTTACGAGATTGCAAGGGACTGGGATAACAGCACTTGAGCACGCGCACCCTCTCCTCCTCTTCCCCTCCCCTCCAGGCACAAGTGCAGCAGGCATACTTGCAGCTGAAGCCTCTCGCGCGGCCCAAGGGGACGGCGATGGAGAGATTGATTCACTATATGGTCGAGGGGTTGTTCAAGAGACTGCAAGGGAACGGGTACCAGCACTTCAACACTCCCGTTCGGAAAACTCCCAAGGTATGTGACTGTATGGAGGTTCTACTTACCATTACTGAGTGTGATTGTAGTAGAGATTGATTCACTATATGGTTGAGGGGTTGTTTAAGAGACTGCAAGGGAACGGGTACCAGCACTTCAACACTCCCGTTCGGAAAACTCCCAAGGTATGTGACTGTATGGAGGTTCTACTTACCATTACTGAGTGTGATTGTAGAAGAGATTGATTCACTATATGGTCGAGGGGTTGTTTAAGAGACTGCAAGGGAACGGGTACCAGCACTTCAGCACTCCCGTTCGGAAAACTCCCAAGGTGCGTGGTTGTGTAGTATTATCGAGGTTATGCTAAAAGTGGGTGTGTTTGTAACGGGTGATATACCACATAGTAGTGGTATAACACGGTGACTGTTGAGACGTCTCAAAAGTCACCTCATATCGCATAGTAGTGGTATATCACCCGTTATGGGTGGGTTGTTCAAGTTCAAGAGGTTTTCTCTCTTCTTCCCTTCCTACTTCTCCCCCCCTCCCCTATCTCCCACCTAAGGAGTTGGACGAAGCATGGGCGTGGTTTGCTACAAGCACCCCCTACCCCGCCTTTGGCAACATGGCAATAACGGGCATGTTCTGCACGCTGTCTCCTCCGCCTCTCACGTCCACCTCATCGACTTCGGAGAGCTCCTGCCCTTCCACCTGCCCACCATCATGGAACTTCTAATGCGCACTTCCGTCCCTCTCCACCCCTTTCCACCGCACTCTACCGCACTCCACTGCACCTCACCGCACTTCACCGCACTGCACTGCTCTCCACCCATCCTTGTTCAGGAGCTGGATGAAGCACGTGCATGGTTCGCTACAAGCACCCCCTACCCCGCCTTTGGCAACATGGCAATAACGGGCTTGTTTCTCCACGCTGTCTCCTCCGCCTCTCACGTCCACCTCATCGACTTTGGAGAACTCCTGCCCTTCCACCTGCCCACAATCATGGAACTTTTAGCTGCCCGCCCGGGCGGCCCGCCGCACCTCCGCGTCACGGGACTGGACACGACGACTTTCGTCTGCCCGCCAGTGAATCCACGACTTAAAGCCCCGCCTTGAGGTGCTGTGTTGGTTCCATGGAATGGCTCCTTCTGTCAACCCCCCCCCCCCCCCCCCTCCCCCCCATCACCTCCTCCCCCTCACCACCCCTCAGTGGATCCACGACTTAAAGCCGGCGCTCTTCACCTTCGTTGAGATGGATCTAGATTCCAATGCCCGCCCCTTCCTCTCCCGCTTCCAACACGTTCTCGACCACCACCTCTCCGTCTTCTGCTCCCACGACGCACTTATCGGCGCCGCTGTCTCTTTCCCCGCCTTGAGGTGTTGTGTTATGCTGGTTGCACAAAAACGCACTTTCTCTCACCCCCCTCCCTCTATTCCCTGTCCCCTCCACCCTCTCACCACCCCTCAGTGGATCCACGACTTAAAGCCCGCGCTCTTCACCTTCGTTGAGATGGATCTCGACACCAATGCCCGCCCCTTCCTCTCCCGCTTCCAACACGTTCTCGGCCACCACCTCTCCGTCTTCTGCTCCCACGACGCACTTATCGGCGCCGCTGTCTCTTTCCCCGCCTTGAGGTGTTGTGTTATGCTGGTTGCACAAAAACGCACTTTCTCTCACCCCCCTCCCTCTATTCCCTGTCCCCTCCACCCTCTCACCACCCCTCAGTGGATCCACGACTTAAAGCCCGCGCTCTTCACCTTCGTTGAGATGGATCTCGACACCAATGCCCGCCCCTTCCTCTCCCGCTTCCAACACGTTCTCGGCCACCACCTCTCCGTCTTCTGCTCCCACGACGCACTTATCGGCGCCGCTGTCTCTTTCCCCGCCTTGAGGTGTTGTGTTATGCTGGTTGCACAAAAGCGCACTTTATCTCACCCCCCTCCCTCTCTTCCCTGTCCCCTCCCCCCTCTCACCACCCCTCAGTGGATCCATGACTTAAAGCCCACGCTCTTCACGTTTGTGGAGATGGATCTAGATTCCAACGCCCGCCCCTTCCTCTCCCGCTTCCAACACGTTCTCCACCACCACCTCTCCGTCTTCTGCTCCCACGACGCACTTATCGGCGCTGCCGACAAACGCCTGCTCTCCATTTTCGAGGAGCTTTATTTCGGCCGGGCGATTGTGAATATTGTGTCGTGTGAAGGGGTGGAGAGGGTTCACCGGCCGGAGACACTTGACCAATGGCGGGGGAGGATGCTCAGGCTCGGGTTCTCGCCGAAGCAGATTCCTGGAGCTGTTACCGAGGCTATGCATAGTATGCTGAAGAGGTTTCCTCTTGGGTTCGGGTTATTGCTAGAGGATGGGGCCATTAGGCTGGCTTGGAAAGGGACGACGACTATCCTTGCTCTTGGCTGGGTGTTGAATGCACCACCTTGAATAATCGATATCATTCTCCATATTGTTTTATCCCCATGTGTTTCAATGGCATGCAAAAAGGAGCGACACTGTTAATGAATCATTTTCTACATAGTGAACTTGGAGGCATAGACCTAAGGGGAATATAACATAGGGAACAGAAGATAGTGTATAAAGGTGTGGACAATTAGTATCCAGCTTGTACCGTACTCTCAAATCGTTTTTAGAGGGGTCGTTAGGCTGACTGTTTCGCTCAAACCCTACTCAACCGTTCTGGAATGCAGAACAGGCACCCCTGCGGTGCAAAACACCCAATCGAACCGCAATTAGGTCAAGCAGGGGTGTTGGTTGGTTAGTCAACGAGGCCAAAGCAGCAGACGTCCGTGTCGCGTGAACTGGGCATTTGGTCTTATTTCTGCTTGAATTAGACCTCCTTTTTAGAGTTCCAAGAAACACGCCTACTGTTAGTTCGTTGATAAGAGAGCCTTTCGTTAGTTGCTCGCCGGGCGTTTGCTGTTAGTTCCGTTCGTTAGTGTCCCCCCTTTTAGTTGCACGCCGTGCGTTAACAATCCGATCAAACTCGCGCGGCGGGGAGGGATCTTCTGAGTCGACCCAAAATTCACGTCGCTAGTTATCCAATAAAACGCGCGCGGCGGGGAGGGATGGAGCTGGAGGAGGCGGCGCGGGAGCGGAAAGAGCGGCTGCGAGCGTTAAGAGAGGCGGCGTCGATCGTCACAACAGACGGCGAGAAAACGGCTAGCCTGCTAGCAGACGGCGACGATGGAAAGTGCGTTCATTCTCCAGGGGGGGAAGGGGGGGGGGGGGGGGGGGGGGGGGGGGAGGGGGTCGGGAGGAAGGGGGAAAGGGTGAGAGGAACGAAAGAGGGGGTAGGGAAGGGAAAGGGAGGGAAGGGCGAGGGGTTGTGGGAGGGGGAGGGGGAGGGAAAGGGGGGGTGGGGGAGGAGGGGGATCGGAGATTTGCCGCGCTCTTGCGCCACAACGTCCCACTCTCCCAGTCCCCGTACTCCTCCATTTGAGGCGCCTCAAAAGACGTCTTATAAGGCGCCTCAAAAGTCTTGCGTCACAACGTCTAGTTTTGAGGCGCCTCAAAACTGAACTCAATAGCCTTGCATCACAACGTCCCACTCCCCCAGTCCCCGTACTACTCTGCTTCGTGCGTTTATTACGAGGCTTCGTGGGACGAAGCCGCATTTTTTACGAGGCTTCGTGCGTTTTAAACACGCTTAGCTCGTAGCAAGTTCGTTGTGTGAGGGAATTCCTCTGTTCAATCCCCAAGCTCGTAGCCATGTCTCTCTCTCTCTCCCTTCCCAACCCCCCCCCCCCGTCTGCTCGTATCACTTTTATTCGCAAATCTGTCATGCCTTTCCTGGTCATTGCCCAATCTTGTGGCTTTCCCGGTCAATGCCCAAGCTCAGCAATGTGTCTGTCTCTCTATCCCCCTTCCCAACCACCCCCCTCCTTCTCTTCCAGTCTCCCCCCCCCGTCTGCTCGTATAACCTTTATTCGCAAATCTGTCATGCCTTTCCTGGTCAATCCCCAAGCTCGTAGCCCTGTGTCTGTCTCTCTCTCCCGCTTCCCAACCCTCTACCCTCCCCCACCCCCCCCAACTCCCTCCCAGTCTCCCCCCCCCCCCCCCCCCCCTTCCGCTCGTATCACTTTCACTTGCAAACCTGTCATTTTTTTCCTGATCAATCCCCAAGCTCGCAGCTCTCTGTGTGTCTCTCTCTCTACCCCTTCCCAACCGCCCAACCCCCCTGCCAGCCCCCTCCGCCACCTCTGCTTGTGTAATTCCTATTTGCAAATCTGTCATGGCTTTCTTGGTCAATGCCCAAGCTCGTAGCTCTGTCTCTCTCTCTCTCTCTCTACACCTTCCCAACCACCCTTCTCCTCCCCCTCCCCCTTTCTGCTTGTACCACTTTTATGCTCTGTGTGTGTCTCTCTCTACCCCTTTTTAATCCTCCGGTTGCTCTACAGGGAGAACGAGCCTGCAGCGGAGGTTCGGTTCCGAAGCTACTTGCCTCGGGACGACCAGCTGATGGAGAGGAAGCTTCCTCCAGCGCAGCTCCCCAAGTTTCAGGAACCTACCGCCGCCCAGCCACTATTCTTAGACCCCAACGAGGTGAGTTGGGGACAGTTCTATGAAACCTAGGGAAAAAACTCATTGGTGGGGGTGAGGGGGTGTGGAGGTTGAAGGAGGTGGAGGAGGAGGAAGGGGGATGAAAGGGGCCTTGCTATTGCTTTTGAGGTTGAAGGAGCATGCGTGCTCCCTCCCTGCATCACGTTGCTCCCTCCCTGCATCACGTTGCTCCCTCCCTCCATCACGTTGCTCCCTCCTTCCCACCCAGGAACCAGGGACAGCCATCGCTCCCCGCAAGCGCAACTGGCACCAGTTCGGCGGGACGTGGCAAAGGCAAATGAACCGAGTAGATTGGTGCTCCTCACTCTGCTTATTCTTCTCCCCCTCTCCATCACTTCGCCCCCTCCCTCCACCCAGGACCCAGTAACAGCCATCGCTCCTCAAAACCCCAACTGGGACCAGTTCGGCGGGACGTGGCGTGGCGAAGCGATAAACTGAGTAGTTCGGTGCATCTCACTCTGCTCACTCTGCTCATTCTTCTCCCTCCCTCATCGCGTTCCTCCCTCCCTCCCTCCCTCCACGTTTCTCCATCCCACCAGGACCCAGTAACAGCCATCGCTCCCCGCAAGCCCAACTGGGACTTACGGCGGGACGTGGCGAAGCGGCTAGCCAAGCTGGAGAGACGGACGCAGCGAGCCATGATCGAACTCATGAGTATGTGCTGCGCTTGCCACTCCTTGAATTGAAACTCCTTGCCACTCCTCGCCACTCCTTGAATTGAAACTCCTTGCCACTCCTTGCCACTCCTTGAAACTCCTTGCCACTCCTCGCCACTCCTTGAATTGAAACTCCTTGCCACTCCTTGCCACTCCTTGAAACTCCTTGCCACTCCTTGAAACTCCTCGCCACTCCTTGCCACTCCTTGCCACTCCTTGAAATTCCTTGCTGGACCGTCTGATCAAACTCATGAGTACGTGCTGCGCTTGCCACTCCTTGAAACTCCTTGCCACTCCTCGCCACCCCTGACCATTCCTTGCTGGACCGTCTGATCAAACTCATGAATACGTGCTGCGCTTGCCACTCCTTGAAACTCCTTGCCACTCCTCGCCACCCCTGACCATTCCTTGCTGGACCGTCTGATATCAAACTCATGAGTACGTGCTGCTTGCGCACCTCTCTGTTGGATCTTGTGTTGTTAAATCGTTCAATATTGTCTATTTGCTTCCCTGTTCCCTGCTGCTTTTACCATTAATGCTTTTCTCTGTTTTCCGTGTGTGTCTGGTCTACTCTACACTCTAACCTGGTTTGTGCTTTGTTTCCACCTTCTTTTCCTCCCCACCCCATTCCTTTTTCTTTGGTTTCATTGGGCTGCTTTTTACGACAGGGGAAGAAGAGGAGAGGCGGCAGCAGCAAGAGTCGGGCATAGAAGGGTCCTAAACTGAGTAACCTGAAATCCAGTTGAATGAAAAAAAATGCAAATGCAGCTACCGGTTCTAGGATGACTCATATAAGAGTGTATTATATTATGCATCTCTTTCAGTTCCTTTAGATTTGGGCTTGTTTGAAGACACTTGTACAATCGGCAAGCAAACTCTATATTTGCTACACTACCATGCATCACACAGAGGAACTCAGTACATGCAATGGCCCATATGAAGCTTATTCCCAGCCCAATTTCTCCCTCCATCTACACCTATCAACTCTTCTGCGCTCCTCTGCTCTGCAAATTGCATCACCGGCCGTTGGGCTAGCGAATCCCAGCAGCACAACAGCAGAGGGCCGCCGCGGAGGGGTTTCCAGCTGCCCTGCAAGCTGCACCTCGTGGCACACCACAGTGCCTATTCCCATTCTCCCTCACAGTCACTCAGCGCTGCTTGAATCTACTCTTGGCTTCATCCACCTCCCTCCTCTCTTTTTCAAGCTCAAGTGAAAGCGACTTTTGAATCGGCTCAGTGTTTATTCCCATTTCCCCTCCAGTCACTCAGCGCTGCTTGAATCGCCTCAAGTTGCTGCTGCCACTTGGCTCCCTCCCCTTCTTCTTTCTTCGGCGCTTCCGTACATGCTGGAGCGTTGTTAGCAGCACCAGCAGCAGCGATACTAGCAGCATTGCCAGCGGTTTGGGTGGAAGGGAAGAGCCGGCTTTGTGGTGTGACGAGGCTGCTGTGGATCTTGTGGTGTGAGTCGAGAGGAGTTGAGTCTAGCAGGTCAATTCCGGCAATAGCATGTGTGTAGCGGGAAAACCCCGACAATATCCCCGTGCGAGGAGGAGCGAATCTCCCTGTGTCACATGCTGCTGCCGCTGTATCCTCTGCTGACCTTCCTGCTGTCGCTGCTTCTTCTGCTGCTGCTGTGCGTGTTCCTCCCACTGCTCCTCCTGCTCCTGCTGCTGCACCTGCTGCTGGTGCTGCTTCTGCTGCTGCTGGGTTGCTCTTGACTTTTCGCAAGGCTGTTTCACCATCACCATTAGTATCACCAGCAGCAGCGGCCTTGTCAGGCAAACTTTGTTTTCTTCTGCGCAGATGACAGGTCATGTGGCCGCCCAGAGCCTGTGACGTGGCAAAATTGAGGCCACAGAACGAGCAAGCATATCCCTCCGGCCGCACGTGGCGCTTCCCGATGGGCGGCAGGCTCATGATTGCCCTGCGGCGAATCTCAATCAAATCCGCATCCAGCGTATCAAATGTAGAGTTGAAAGAGTCAAACGAGTGGCGAAATTGAGGGTTGTTCCGAGCGCCCCTCTTATCAAAATCACCCGCCGGTTGGGATGCAGATTGTGGAAACCACCGCTTATCTGCGCTTGCAGTTGGATTTTCCATACTTCTCCCCTCCAGCTGCTGCTGCTCCTCTGGATTCCTCCACTCACTGCCACTTGCCATCTGCCGTATCCCCATTATTGAGTCGCCTCGTTTAGCTCCAGAAGTTACTCCCCAACTCCTCATTTGCCCACCTGCTGGACCATGCGGTCCTTCTGGAGCTTGAGTGGAGCTGGAGGGTGTCCTCGTAAGCGCCATTTTTTGAAGAAGGGTATTTCGGAGATTACTCCTGTCGCTCAGCCGACTCCCATCACTCCTGTTTGTTGCAAATGTCATTTCTGAATGCGTTTGCCCGTGGCTGGCAAATCCATAACCGCCATTGCTCAGACTGTGACTGTAATCGCCGGTGTGACTCAAATGAGGGCGCTTGTTCCCAAATAGGGGCTCTGAAAATTGCCGTCCCACATTTGCGATAGCCGCTCCGCCTAAATTGTGCTTGCCAAGAACACTTCGTGGTTCTAAAAACGAATGCGACCCAGTAGCGCGGATTCCATTGTTCTCAGGAGGAGCCGAGTGAAAAGTAGTTGAGCGCCGAGGAGCAGCGAACTGGTAACCGTGGGTTTCGCTGAAGCCAGCCGCGTTACAGTCACCGCGTTGCCACCCAGTTCCCAGATTTCCAACACCAGATCTTCCCGCCAAATCTCCACTCGGTTTGCTCACTTCGTAGCAATTATCTCTGCTACCCATCGTGGCACAGCTCCCCATCCCCCAGCTGTTCATCAGCAATTTCGGCGACTTGAGTATTCCAGCAGAATCCGCCATTCGCCTGTCGTAATCCGCCGAACCTTCCGCCGCAGACGAGTTAGGGTTTCCGAACTGAGCTGTCGCTCGCGAATCGGATTTCCACGACATGGATGCGATTTCTTGGCGGCGCCCGTTCGAAACGTCTGCGTTTCGAACATCACAGCTTCCGCCACTCAATCCGCCGCCGCCGCCGCTTACCCCGCTGTTCCCCGCCCACACTCCGCCATTCTCAAAAATCGCGAAGTCCTTCCAGCTCAGTTTCTTTTGCGACAGCGAAAGTTGCCGTCCCTCCACAGCCGTCGTATCAGCTACCGCAGGCGATTCTGGCGGCGATGTAGCCAAAACGACGCCACGCGGCTCGTTGAAACTGCCCGCAAAAACCGCCTCCACCGCCAATGGGGACTCTGTCAATTCGCCAGGACGTCGCAGTTCCAGGCAAGCGGCAGCGTCAGAAGCAGAGGTAGGGGCGGCCGCATCCGCGCTAGTAGGAGCGAACTCGTCCTCCTGCTGTGTCGGGGGTTCGTTGAGGTCAAAACCCGACGCGATGCCGGTGCCGGTTCCGCCGGTAGCCGGCGGAGTCACTACGCGCGCGCATTCCACTGACGCGCCGGAGCTCGGCGAAGCAATTTCCGCGCAGGTCTTCGCAGCACCACCGGGACCGTTCTTCAAACCCGTTTTTTCCGCGTAATCCCTCCAATCTCTTTCAAAATTCAGCTCGGCCTGAACAGCAAACGGAGCCGGCTCCGCGGCGGCCCTCCGCCGGCGCTCCTGCTCCGCAAAGCTCGTTTCCGCTCTGCTCGGATTTCCGCCAGCGCCGACGCTTTTTTGTGGAAAGTTTTCGCCCATAAAGACCTCCATCATGGCTCTGCTTCCGCCTGCGCCAGCTGCGCCGCTTGTTCCGCCTGCTTCGCTTTCTCCGCCTGCTTCGGGTCCGACTTGAAGCTGTGTCAGACTTTCATAGCGGAGCTGTGCGAAGTTTCGCCTCATGGCTTCGTTCAGCGGAAGCGTTGCGGGGGAAGGTCGAGTGAAACAGTCCTCTGAAGTGAGGAGTTCAAGAGTCTTAGTCGTGTGTGTGAGAGCGAACTCCCCGCTTTCGAGGCGTAAACCATCGCCGCGGCCGTCTTCCGTCTGTGGTTTCATGTTCTCGCGACGCCAGCCGTTCCATCCTGACGTCTGCTCGTTCCCGAAGGCATCGAACGGCGCGTTACGAAACGCCTCTATATCGACACTCTCTCTCGCCTGCCATTGCGCAGTCATTTTCAAACTCAAATTCGTCGTCAGTTGTGGTAGTGCGCTTAAAAATGTTCAGTAGCACTTCGAAGTGGCAAAGGTAGCACTTATGAAGGCTGCAGTAGGAGACCAATGAGACTGGATGGTTGTACAGTCACAGAAGTGAGTGTAAATTCAACGTTGGAATGGAACTTCAGTTGCTGCTCTTTTTCACACGTCCCATCTCTCATGAAAGCGAGATGGGATGAGCTGGGGGAACCCCTACGTTCTATCGACAAGGTTCATCGGTTACTGTAACAGTCCTTAGAGAGAGGAAGTGAAAGGGGCACTCGTCAGTAAAATACACAATGGAAAACATTGTTTGCAAAACTCTTATGGAAAATAGTCACCTCGGGAACGTTGTATATATTGTAATTAAGTTGACCTTCCAAATTTACACAATCACACTGCATTTTGAGTGGCAAACCATGGTTCCATCTGGTTCAGGGTGACCTCGTGTCATTGTGTCATTTGTCGTGTAGTCATCTCCAACTGGACTCTGCAGCAACAAGTGGGGAGCTAGCTGGGCGGTGCCCCCGTATTCCTCCCTACACCACAAGAATCACCACCTGGCACGCTTGCAGATGGAGGCATGAGCGTGACTTGGCCCGTTACAGTATCCAGATGTGGGATGCCAGCAGTGACCTGCTGCGCTGGAGTGGGGTCATCATGCTGGAATAGCTGGAGAATGTTTTTGTTCAGCTAAAATCAATGCACTCGTCTGTTACTGTACAGTATACAGTAAACGTATGAACTGTATTTTAACAAAAACATTCTTTCCCAACCACGGACTTTTGCCCCCCTGCACACACCACACAGCCCTTCATTGCACTTGCATGAAATGCCAACCGGTCGCGTCTAGGGTTCCGGACCTATGTGCTTCTGGACAATGATTCACCCTTTCTACACAGAATGTTATAAAAGGCGTAGTACTCTAGGAATTGCAAGAGTTTCTGGATGACGGGAACGCAGCCAGTGCTGTCAGACTCGCAGATCGTTCACACTAGATTAAGTGTTTACGGACCTTATGCCCCATGATTTTTCAGATGACATGGAATGGGAAAATGTATGATTTGACCCCGCCCCAATACAGCGGATGGATCCATGATCCTCAACTGAATTGTGATTGCGTTCCAGTTGCTCAGCTGTCGTCCAGTCAGCATTTCGCAAATTTCCAGCGAGTTCAGTGACCTGGCAAGCAATTCCTTGCACGCGTCACATGCACCAGCAACTTGACTCTGTTCACTTGACAACTGGAACATGCATCCCAAAAATCGGGCTCGCAAAAACCTACCCCAAGGTTTCCTTTGGGGTACCCCGCTGTGGGTAACCCAAAGGACTCCATCTAGGAGTCCGCGAGGTCACCTCAAAGTTCGTTGTGACCTCAAGGTTACCCACCGAGGTAACCTACAGGTCACCGCGATGTTTCCGCTCCCATTTTTCTGGAGCGAATCAGATGCCACCCTCGTACGCGCCGCGATGAATAATTGAAATAGTACACTCTGGCGGTACACTTTTTTGAATCGTTAACAGATACTAACACGTACATTTTATTATCGTTAATTATTCGTTACAGGATAAAAGAACTAACCACATTCATATTATTACACAATCGTGTGTATGCGTTTGACTCCATCGAATGTTTGTAGTTTAGTTGTTGGATGCATATACAATTAGCATCACACTGATAATAAAAATAAACATTACATTGAGAGACACCAGATCGTGTCGTATGCCTTTGAAAGCACGCAACTACAATTAGCACCGCAACAGACCCACATCTCTCCATAGTATAACAAAACTTCAAAATAAGGTGAAAAAATATTGCCTGTCACAACAAGGTATCGAAATTAACAAGCAGAGAGTGGTCAGTAAATGAAAAGCGCAAATCAAGGATCCACACGGACAGTGAAACATTACCATGTCGCCACACCACATCTGTCCCTTAACGACGACTGTCTTCACACCAGAGATAGTTAACTTGGATGTAGAGAGAGTTAAGTCTGCACAAGCACGGTGCAATGGCAACGATTTGCAATGAAACAAATTCCACGACGAGGAGAAATCCAGTGCTAGCCGGGTAGCTGACATATAGAACATCGCCTATGACAAACAGAACGATGACAAGAAGCAACACCGAATGAACGGCGCTGATCATGCAACCCTCGGACAGCATTTTAGGTAAATCGAAGTCTAATAGCTTACCTCACAAGCACTATATGAAGCTGAATGAGCGCGATGTTGCCGAAGAATCACGCATCGAGCCAACCTCGGGTAATCTGCCATGAAGACGCAATAATCAAATAAACACGTCATTAAACCACGGCAACACGGAAAAATTCAATACGTCGCCGGTGAAAACGTAAGGAACCTAATCTCTTAGCGTGCATGCACAGCATTATGGAAACTATGTGACACGTATAGCGACTATCGCGGGGCTAGGGAGACATAGCGAGGGAGAAATAGAGCCGGAGAGAGAGCATAACTTCACGGATGAACAATGAAGAATGAGAGCAGGTACTAAGAAAAGTGAGTACTTGGCGAATGAACTGCTTTGCTGAAGTGACGAGGAGAGCTGTGATTGGTCAGTGATATTCTGCCAGCATACCAACGAAACCCATCAAATTGTGCCTTGATATGGGGAGTTTCGTTATAACTGCCTGTATAATGAACAAATGTTTACCATTGCCGTTGTAAACTCAGTACTGTACCCTGAACTTGCTTGGGGTTCAGCTTCGGTTGCCGAAACAGATCAAGTAAACCAGGCGACCAGCCTCGTTCCGAAGCAGGAAGGGTTTCCTTGAGGTGACGCCAAATTTCGCTGCATCCTGATTCGTCGAAATCATATTCTCGATTGCTAAACGATATGGTGACAAAATTCGCCCGCGTCGTTGATGGCCGAAGGTTTCCTTTTGGCAACCCAAAGGCAACTATGGGGTAATGTAGGAAGCGATACCCCAAGGTATCCCTCGATCTCGTACCGATTTCAGCGCTCGAATTTTTGGGATGTGTTTGGGCCAAGTCTCCCAACACTTGACCCAAACCGGACTGACCTTCAGTGACGACTTCCCAGTCAGCCCACAATTCAGCAGAAGGTCAGCGAAACTACCCAACACCTCAGCGAGAGGAGGAATGCCTGAGCTAACGTAGGCAAGGTTTCATGTTTGATTGGTATTAGAAAGAGCAGGGTATCAAACTCTTACAAGTAAATGGTCGGAGGGTGGTGGAGTCAGGGTGATGGATGGTGTTGCTCTGATAAGCGGGTCAAACTAAAAAACAAATCCAGAAACCCTTATCGCGCCTCCGAGAGGCGAGAGAGTGACATCATCCTTATCGCATCAAATCATTCACCTTGTCCAGCTGGTCCGCGTGCGATACGAATTAATGTGGTGGTGGAGGAGACTGCCAAGAAGAATTCCCTCAAAATCAGGGATTCCCGTCCACACAAGCCACACAAATCTTTTGTCCAGGTGCATAAGCGGTGCGGGAGTAACCAACTGCGTGCGAGTCAAACCTCGGAGATTCAGTGCTGCTTCACTTGTCATCCAAAACAGCAAAGGTGTTACACTGGCTCGTCCCATCGTATGAATTACGTATAACAACAAAACCGAACTAGCATTGGCTCTGTTCTGCAGGCACATGCCTTGGGGGGGAGGAGGGGGGCGAGTGTAAATGACGAGGGTTCCGGAGCAGTTTCCATGTCGAAATCACCCCCACCTCGCTACAACCGAAAGCGGGAAACTTCGGGAGCAGGGGCGGAAGGTGCCGACGGTAAATGACGCATTACCTGCTCAATTTCGCGCCCAATAGTCAGGGGTACATCGAATCCACAAAACCCACAGAGGAGGGTAAAAATCTGCACGAGGGGGTTCAGCTGTGGAAAAACGAAATACAAAACCCCCAGCTGTGAGAGGCAGTCTAGAGCTTTCTGTTCGAGCAAGATGGTTGGGTTTTTTTTCATCGATCGGGTTGTGCTTCACTGCATGGGTTCCGAGCAGCATCTGTGCATGATTTATAGGGTAGAAGATGGGTGTCCCCACTCCCTGCACCTCCCTCCCATGTCTCTCGCCACGCCCTGAAAAAGCTATTCGTATGGCGGGGCGAGTGACTTGACTTTTGCCAGAGGAGGAAGGTGGAGAGGGTAAGTAGGTAGCTTCCGATGGGCCAAAACCCTCAAGGGTAAATGGCTGTTCTGTAGCCATTTCCCCTCGAACAGGTTCGGAGGGGAAATGGCTGGCTCGGCAACGTTTTGCGGGCTGACCGCCTTCCGAACCCAAAAAACGCAGTGGGGGAAGCTACCTATTTCCCCTCGCCCCCCCACCGACAGGGCCTACAGAACAGAGCCATTATGTAGACGTGCAGTCAGAAAAGGAGTGAACCTGAGCAGCATGAACCCAACAAGCAAAGCAGATTGTAATGAAGAACATTTCGTGTGTAAAGCACCAAATATGTCACTTCCAGGAAAGTATACCACTACAAACAGTGTAATACGCCACATAAGGAGCACTAAGCAATACGGCACAAGGTGCTAACTCAACTGGATGAAATGTAAATAAAAACAGTAGCTATCTTGCTTTCACCGGCCAAAGATCATCCTGGTACTACTCTGCCCCTGTCTGCTTACCATTAGGCCGCACCAATTTAAGACCATCCCCAGTCTCCCCCACATCACCAGCACTGTCACCTGCTCCAAGCATCTCATCGCATTTCCGCTTCCCCAAAGTTCCATTGCTTTCAGCATCCCCCCGTGCCTTCACACCATCCTGCCCGACCTGCCCAATCTGCCCGGCCTGCCCAACCAACTTTTGCCGAGTATCATTCACGCCCTCTTCAGAATCAGAATCCGAATCTGAATCTGAACCAGAATCTGAGCCAGATTCATCAATAGTCTCTCCATCGCTGGTGTAATGAAACACTGTAAACTCCTTTTCTGTCCGTTCCTTCCGCTCCTTAACTTTTGATACAAGTACATCCCCTGCTGCTTTCCCTGCTCCCGCCACGGTCCATAACGGTGCTAACAGACCCACCTCTGGAGCACTAGAAACAACGTTACCTGCTACTGAGGCTGTAGCGGCAGGGACAGATGGAGTAGCGGTAGCAACAGGGGTTGTCGCAGCAGCTACGGGGGCTGTGGCAGCAGCAACAGTGGGTGAAGAAGCAGAAGCAGAGGCGGTAAGAAGAGCAACGGCTGAACCTCCACTCACAACCGCCCCATTCTGCTTCTCACTGCCAACACCATTGGTAGAGCTGTTACTGGCACTGGTGCTGCTGCCGACTGTTGATTCAGCAGCAGCTGCTGCTGCTGCTGCTGCTGCATCTACAGCCTCTGTTGCTGTAGGGTCCTCTGCTTCTGCTTCTACTTCTTTTGCCGCCGATGGTGCTCGCGCCTCTGCTGCGGTTACCGAGTCTGTGAGTGAGGGTGTCACATCTGCTGCTGCTGCTGCTGCTGCTGAATTCACGCCTGTTACTGCTGCCGTCATACCTCCTCCTGCTTCTCCCTCACTCACAACCCCCTCAGCTTGTGTCTTCTTTGCAACAGCCTTAACTTCTGTAGTGTCCCCTCCTCCTAAACCCTCTCCTAAACTGCTCCTAGACCAGCAACCTCTGCACCCCTCTCAACCGTTTGCGACTCAGCTGCCCTCACATCTTCCCCACCTCGCCCCTCACCACTCTTCTCCACCCCACTCCCTTCCTCTCCACTCCCTCCAACCGCTCCTGCCTTCCAATCCATAGCTTCCAGAATCAACCTCTCATCCTCGTCTTCATCTGACTCTTCTTCCGCCCACTCCTCATCCTCCCCATCCTCTCTCTCCCCCTCTGAAGCCTCGGAACTTAATCCCTCCACCTTTTTTCCCTCGTCCTTATCCTTCCCCATCCCAGCATCCTCCCCAGCACCCCTCATACCCTCCCTTTCCTCCTCTACCTTCTCCTCCTTTCCCTTTTCTTCCAATATCCCTTCCAACACACTCCTAAACTGTCCTTCCACCTTCCTCACCTCTACCCCCTCCTCCCTCCTCCTCCTCCTTCCATCCTCTTCCTCTCCCTCGCTCTCTGTGTCCCCCGAATGCCCTGCAAAGGCTTCAGGTAGTTCCCCAGGTGCCGCCTCTGTTTCAACCACCTGAACAGGTGTTCCTGCAGGATAGGCGTCCAGGATAATATCGAGATCCGACCCTTGGATCTCTCCCTTCGCCATTAGCACCTAAAGTGTGACAATAAAGGCAGAGAAGGAAGGAAAAATGAGCGGGAGCAGCAGTTAGTGAAGCAGAGAATGTAAAATCCATCCACCAACCAATTGCAGAAAATAAACCAACATTGACTTCTTTATAGATGTGTATATGCATACTCATGCATGTATGTTTAGATCGGGTGCATTGACCCGCCAACAACTCACGTTGACTGCCTTGACCAGGGCCGCCTTGTGATCCGGCAGCAGCTCACGCACGGTGGCTGGCAGCAATCATGCATATGTGTGAGATGTATTGACTGCATTGACTGTATTGACCCGCCCATAACTCACATTGACTGCCTTGACCAGAGCAGCTTTGTGGTCCGCCAGCAGCTGCCACGTGGCAGCATACGCCTCGTCCAGCAAAGCATGCGCCATGTCAGCTGCCACGTCATCAGCATGATCGCTGATCTTCCCCCCTGTGAACCCGTAGTCTGCGTAGAGGCTCCCCTCAAAGCCCAGAGAAGGTCCGCTGGCAGTGCTGCGGCGCTTCCAGGCGGGCGGGATACCCCGAGGGAGCACCTTCCCCGCCATGTGCCATCTGGGGTTGGGGGAGAGGGAGGGGAGAACAACAGGTGGGGTTCAGAGGGTGAGGGTTAGAGGTTGAAGGGCTGAGCTTCTGACGGGCCGCTGGCAGTGCTGCGACGCTTCCAGGCGGGTGGGATGCCCCTTGGCAGCACCTTCCCCGCCATGTGCCATCTGGGGAAGGGGGAGAGGGGGGAGGGGGGGTGGGGGGTTTGGGGGAATGGGCATAGGGTCAGGGTTTGAAGCGCTGGCAGTGCTGCGGCGCTTCCAGGCGGGTGGGATGCCTCTGGGGAGCACCTTTCCCGCCATGTGCCATCTGAGGAAGGGGAGAGGGGGAGATGACAGAATATAGGGAGAGATCAGGGTTCAAGAAAATGGGTCTTTACACGTAAGTGCCCTTGTCACAGCAGACAAAGCTCGTGCCGCCCGGATCTTCACACAAAGACAAACTTGTAAGCCACCAATGAGGCCCTTGCCGCCCGGGCACTCACATGGAGACAAACTTGTACGCCATCCAGGAAGCATCCGCCACGTGGCGCTGACTGTACGTGCTGCTGTCGCGCCCCCACACCACCTCCTCTGCCGCCCGGCCCCCCAGCATCACCTGCCACGTCACACAAGCAAAGAAGGCAATAATGCCGAATCCGCACAAAGCAAAGGAGGTGAAATAGACTCATGCGGGTGAGTTGAATCCACTAAGGCCCTGAGGCTTCAAAAGAAGGTACATCACTTGCTATCGCTACAGTTCTTAAAATAATTTCAGTACTTGCAGTTGCTACAGCCATTGAATCGCTACAGTGCCCACAACTGCAACAGCAGCACCAGCCATCACTACAGTACCTGCAATCGGTGTAGCAGCGTTCGTCTCTTCTCGAAAAGGTACGCCTCATCATCAATGCGGTTGAATACGGTCCACGAGGGTGTCTGGTGGTACAGGAAGCGTTTGAGTGAGAATTCATTGAACACAGGATGAAAGAGGATTAAGAAACGGTTGAGAAGGGGTTCAGAGGGCGTTGAGAGGATTGAAAAAATAGAGCTTTTGAAGATGGAAAGAGGTGAGCGAGGGGGGGAGACGAGCGAGGAGCGAGGGGTCAAGATGCACGGGAGTTCAGAGCTAATCTGTTCAACCCACTGCAAAAACAGGTCGACCAGGCTGCAGATCTTTGTGCATCGACCTGTTTTTGCAGCGACCTCGCTTCCATCCCCTCGCTCCTCACTCCCCTTCGCCTCAACCTCTCGCTCCTCGCTCGCCTCCCCCTCGCCTCCTCGAGCCCACCTCAAGCCCACCCTAAACCCCGAAACCCTGGGATGAGACCTCACCACTCCTCGGGGCACGATCGAAAGCCGTTGCGGTGGCTCCACCTGCGCATCGTCATACTCAATCAGCAGCGGCGCCGTCAGCGCCAGCCCCGCCTCGTGCACCGCCACAGACTCTCCACTCCCCTGAAACCCAGTTTAACCTTAAACCCAACACCCTGAACCCTGAACGCACCTCCCCTCGGGGAACGATGGAGAGTCGCTGGGGCGGCTCCACCTGCGCATCGTCATACTCAATCAGCAGCAGCGCCGCCACTCAGCGCCCTTAACCATCAACCCAGAGCTTCTTAAACCCCAAAACCCCAAAACCTCACCTCCCCTCGGGGAACGATGGAGAGTCGCTGGGGCGGCTCCACCTGCGCATCGTCATACTCGATCAGCAGCAGTGCCGTAAGCGCCAGCCCCGCTTCATGCACCGCCATTCTCCGCACCAGCAGCGGGTGCTTGCCCTGCTCTGCCCCCCATCGCTCCCGGGGCGTGCCGAGGGTGAGGCGGTCCGCTGCCGTGTAGAGATCCTCGTCCTCTATCTCCCCCGCCCCCCTCCTCACCGCCACCAGCGCCGCCTCCTGCAGCAGATTCGCCAGCTGCGCGCCACTCCACCCTGGAGAGACATTAGGGTTAAAGACGGATACAGAGGAGTTTGAAGGGATTGTGGAGGGGTTGAGGGAGAATTGCCTCCTGCAGCAGATTCGCCAGCCGAGTGCCACTCCACTCGGGAAAACAGAATGTTGAGGGGATTTAGAGATCAAGAAGGCAGCTTACAGTCTCGTATTAAAACCTGGCCATTACCTGCGAGGTTGGCTGCAATGGTGTCAAGGTCCACGAGGGGGCTCATCTTGACCTTCTTGGCATGCACCTTCAGCACCTCCGCCCTGTCCTTTGAGTGGCTGACATGACCTTTCTGAGGCCTGCTGATCCTGGACCATGCACTCAAAGACAGGCCCGAGCATTACCTGCGAGGTTGGCTGCAATGGTGTCAAGGTCCACGAGGGGGCTCATCTCGACCTTCTTGGCATGCACCTTCAGCACCTCCGCCCTGTCCTTTGAGTGGCTGACATGACCTTTCTGAGGCCTGCTGATCCTGGACCATGCACTCAAAGACAGGCCCGAGCATTACCTGCGAGGTTGGCTGCAATGGTGTCAAGGTCCACGAGGGGGCTCATCTCGACCTTCTTGGCATGCACCTTCAGCACCTCCGCCCTGTCCTTTGAGTGGCTGACATGACCTTTCTGAGGCCTGCTGATCCTGGACCATGCACTCAAAGACAGGCCCGAGCATTACCTGCGAGGTTGGCTGCAATGGTGTCGAGGTCCACATGCGGGCTCATCTTGACCTTCTTGGGTTTCAATGTTTACAAGTTACAAGTATGACATGGCATTACCTGCAAGGTTGCCTGCAATGGTGTCGAGGTCCACGTGCGGGCTCATCTTGACCTTCTTGGGTTTCAATGTTTTCAAGTTACAAGTATGACATGGCATTACCTGCAAGGTTGCCTGCGATCGTGTCGAGGTCCACGTGCGGGCTCATCTTGACCTTCTTAGCATGCACCTTCAGCACCTCCGCCCTGCCCTTGGACCCCGGCGGCACGATGGTGATCTGAACAAGAAACGCAAGGAGAAACAGATGGGAGAAGCAGGTGGAAGGAGATGGGAGGACGAGTGGATGCAGAGCTGTGTGAGAGCAGTCAGCTTGGCCTTCTTGGCATGCACCTTCAGCACCTCCGCCCTGCCCTTGGACCCCAGAGGCCCAATGGTGATCTGAAGGGCAGCAGAGGGACAAGGCAAGAAAGAGATTGGTTTTGTGTTAATCCCCCACCAGTCAGCAACCACTGCCCTTTTGCCCACCAAACACCCACTCTCCCCTTATCCTTTCTCCAGACACCTACCTTTCTGTCGAATCGGCCAGGCCTGAGCAGGGCAGCATCGAGCGGTTGTCCATGGCGTGGTGTCCATGCGGTGTCCATGGCGTGGTGTCCATGCGGTGTCCATGGCGTGGTGTCCATGCGGTGTCCATGGCGTGGTGTCCATGCGGTGTCCATGGCGTGGTGTCCATGCGGTGTCCATGGCGTGGTGTCCATGCGGTGTCCATGGCGTGGTGTCCATGCGGTGTCCATGGCGTGGTGTCCATGCGGTGTCCATGGCGTGGTGTCCATGCGGTGTCCATGGCGTGGTGTCCATGCGGTGTCCATGGCGTGGTGTCCATGCGGTGTCCATGGCGTGGTGTCCATGCGGTGTCCATGGCGTGGTGTCCATGCGGTGTCCATGGCGTGGTGTCCATGCGGTGTCCATGGCGTGGTGTCCATGCGGTTGGTGGCGCCGATGAACACCACGCCCTGGCCTTCTGGCCTCCTACACTTCACCTGTTTCTCTGTCCCGCTCTGCTCACACCTGGACTCATACATACCTTCCTGTCGAACCGCCCCGGGCGCAGCAGCGCAGCATCCAGCATGCCCATGCGGTTGGTGGCGCCGATGAACACCACCCTGGCCTCACTAGCCCCCCCAAGCCCCTGGCCCCTGAATCTCTCCATACACTCCTTCGTGCTGCACCTTGTCGCTGCACCTGCTTGCTCACACCAGGACTCGTACCTTTCTATCAAACCCCCTGGCCTCTCCTTCCCTGCACCCCCACTACTCGTGCTACCCCACCCATGCATTCCAGAGAAGGTTGGGTTGCTGCTTCTGACCTTTCTGTCGAACCGCCCCGGGCGCAGCAGCGCAGCATCCAGCATGTCCATGCGGTTGGTGGCGCCAATGAACACCACCCCCTGGCCGGTGTCGAAGCCATCAAGCTCGATGAGCAGCTGGTTGAGAGTCGTTTCACGCTCCGTCACTCCCGCATCCGCGCCCTCGTCCCCTCCAGCTGAGGAGCGCCTGCAGGAAGATAGAACAAGACAGGGGCACAAGGAGTAGAGGGGACAGGAGGGTAAGCACTGAAACACCACCCCCTGGCCGGTGTCGAAGCCGTCAAGCTCGATGAGCAGCTGGATGAGCGTTATTTCTCTCTCCGTCACTCCCGCATCCGCCCCCTCGTCCAACCCTGCAGAGGAGCGGCTGGAGTAGAGCAGCAGAGGGAGAGAGAAATTGGGCGAGGGGAAAGGAAATGAGCAGCTGGTTGAGGGTTGTTTCATGCTCAGTCACTCCCGCATCCGCCCCTTCATCACCACCTGCTGACGAACGACTGGGAGGAGGAGAAGTGGAGGAGAGGGGTTGGGGAGAGGGGGAGAAGAACAGGGAGACAAGGAGAGGGAGCGATATGGGAGAGTAAGGAAGAGAGGGAAGGGATTTAAGGAGGAAAGGGAGTGAGGGAGGGAGGAAAGGGGGTGAGTGAATGAGAAAGAGAGTGAGGGAGGGAGGGAGGGAGTTGGTTTAAGGACAATGTGCTGACTAAAAGAACACGAAAGACGTTATGAGAGGTTGGGGAGGGACATACGCAGCAGCATGTACGCAGCACCAAGAGAGTCGATTTTGTCGATCAAGACCACAGCACAGCAGACTTTTGAGTCGACTCAAAAAAGTCACCAAGAGAGTCGATTTTGTCAATGAAGACCACAGCACAGCGGGCTTGTTGACCTTTGAGGCGCCTCAGTGGAATGAGGCGCCTCAAAGTAAGGAGGCTACTTACGCAGCACCGAGGGCGTTAACTTTCTCATTGACCAGTTGGGGTAAAGAGGGAAGGCAGGTGAAAAGAGAGGAGGGTTTTGAAAGGAAGGGACTTACGCACTGAGGGCATCGATTTCGTCAATGAAGACCACCGCGGGCTTGTTGACCTTGGCTCGCTTGAAGATTAGGAGATTGTAAATAGTGACTCCAATACAGGAGGAGGGACTTACGCAGCACCAAGAGCATCAATTTCGTCTATGAAGACGACCGCGGGCTTGTTGACCTTGGCTCGCTTGAAGAGATCTCGCACACGAGCAGCCCCCAACCCAAAGGTGGGGGGAGGGCAGAGGCGGGTGAGACGAGAGAGTATGAGAAGAGAGAGTATGAGGGGAAGGTGGGGAAGGAAACTTACGCGGCACCGAGGGCGTCGATCTCGTCAATGAAGGCGGCCGCGGGCTTGTTGACCTTGGCTCGCCTCAAAGGGAATGAGACGACTTTTCACAGGTGCGACGAGAGAGTGGGGGTGGGGAACGGGAGTACTTACGCGGCACCGAGGGCGTCGATCTCGTCGATGAAGACGACCGCGGGCTTGTTGACCTTGGCTCGCTTGAAGAGATCTCGCACACGAGCAGCCCCCACTCCCACCAGCACTTCTGCGAACTCAGAGCCCGCCATCTGGTAGAACGGCACTCCCGCCTCGCCTGCTATGGCCTTGGCTAGCAGTGTCTGGTGGAGGGAGAGAGGGAGGGAGGGTTGTATGGAGTAAGGGGGGAGTATAAGGGAGTGAGAGCTGCCCCCACTCCCACCAGCACCTCAGCAAACTCAGAGCCCGCCATCTGGTAGAATGGCACTCCCACCTCGCCTGCAATGGCCTTGGCTAGTAGGGTATGGGGAGAGGGAGAGAGGGAGGGAGGGATGTATGGAGTAAGGGGAGGAGCATAAGGGAGTGAGAGCTGCCCCCACTCGCACCAGCACTTGAGCAAACTTGGAACCCGACATCTCGTACAATGGCACTCCCGCCTCGCCTGCTATGGCCTTGGGCCAGGAGCGTCTGGTGGAGAAGAGGGAAGGAGAGAGAAGCGTACACGAGAGAAAGGCGCATAAGGAAGTGCGAGCTGCCCCACCTCCCACCAGCACCTCAGCAAACTCGGAGCCTGCCATCTGGTAAAATGGCACCCATGCCTCGCCTGCTATGGCCTTGGCTAGCAGCATCTGGTGGAGCGGGGGGGGGAGAAAGGGGAGACACGGGGAAGAGAAATGCAGGAGGAGGGAAAGGGAGGAGGGCGTGACGGGAGCAGTAGATAGAACCAATTGGAGTAACAGTCTTATGAATGAAAGTGGAGTGGAACGTCAGGGGCAAAGTCTCAGGGGGGGAACAGGCAGCGAGGCAAACAGCAGAGCAAGCAGGGTCTCACATTGCCACAGCCAGGCGGCCCTTCCAGCAGCACTCCCTGCCGTGCAGGGGCTTGCTTGGTTCCCATAAGGTTGCGGATCGCAATCTATCCAACCCCTCACCTCAAGGATCAAGCACTCAGAGGGGCACACAGCATCACTCAGCGAAGCAAGCAGCAGAGCAAGCGGTGACTCACCTTGCCACACCCGGGCGGACCTTCCAGCAGCGCACCGTGTGGGGGCTTGGTTCCCATGAGGTTGAAACGCTGAGGGTCCTTCAGATACTTGCCTCCCCTCCCCCTCCTAGAAGTTAATGGTCAGGAGGGGCAAACGACCGATCTTACCTTGCCACAGCCAGGCGGCCCTTCCAGCAGCACTCCGTGCGGGGGCTTGGTTCCCATGAGGTACCTGGGTGTTAATTATGTGCTCCCGCACCTTGCAACAGACAGAAGAACTTACCTTGCCGCACCCTGGCGGCCCCTCCAGGAGCACTCTGTGCGGGGGCTTGGTTCCCATGAGGTACCTGGGTGTTAATCATGTGCTCCCGCACCTTGCAACAGACAGAAGAACTTACCTTGCCGCACCCTGGCGGCCCTTCCAGCAGCACTCCGTGTGGGGGCTTGGTTCCCATGAGGTTGAAGCGCTGAGGATCTTTGAGGTATTCCACGAGCTGAGTTAACACACAAAGGAAGAGAGGGGAGAGTGGGGGGAAAGGGGAGCAGTGCGGAGGGACGGCGGAAGGAAAAAGGGAGTGGGAGTTTTGCTTGGTCCCCCCATGAGGTTGAAGCGCTGGGAATTGTATAGGTACTGCAAGGGCCGAGAGGTGATGAATGAACGGGGAGAGTTGAAGGGGGAGGGAAGGGAGGGTTGGGGAGTAAGGTGGCAAATGAGAGACACAGGGGGGGTGATTTCCATGTGTTTTAGGCACTTAAGTTCTTTAAGGAACATACATGCATACGTTTAGTATTAACAAGTTTGACACGTCACTCACCTCCTGTAGCTCCTGCACGGTCTCGTCGATGCCTGCCACATCCTCAAACTTCACTCCTGTGGAGCCCTGTTGATTTGGGAGGAGGCGCGAGGAGGGAGAGGGGGGGGGAGAGAGAGCTTCTTAGTCGACTCACGGGCCACCTCCTGTAGCTCCTGCACTGTCTCGTCAATGCCTGCCACATCCTCAAACTTCACTCCTGTGGAGCCCTGGTGAGAGGAGCAGAGGGGAGAGAAAGGGGAAACATAGAGGAGAGGATGGATGGATTTAGGTCACATCCTGCACTGTCTCGTCGATGCCTGCCACATCCTCAAACTTGGCTCCTGTGGAGCCCTGGTGAGGAGAAAGAGGGAAAGGGAAGAGAGGCCTGACGAGGAGAAGAGCGAAAGGAGAGAGAAGTTGTTTAGGGAGCGGGGAGAGATGGGGGAGAAGGAAAAGAAGAGACCACACGGCATGGCATGGCATGGCACGGCAGGGCATAGCATGGCATGGCATGGCACGGCATGGCATGGCATGGCACGGCACGGCACGGCATGGCATGGCATGGCATGGTACGGCACGGCATGGCATGGTACGGCATGGCATGGCATGGCATAGCATGGCATGGCATGGCACCGCACCTGCCCAGCCCAGCCCAGCCCAGCCCAACTCAACCCAGCCCAGCCCAACCCAACCCAATCCAGCCCAGCCAAGCCCAACCCAGCCCAGCCCAGCCCACCCCAGCCCAACCCAGCCCACCCCAGCCTGGTGCCACATGGCGGAGCACAACGCGGCACCGCAGGGCACCGCACAGCACACACTGCATAGTAGCAACCGCTCACTCACCTCCACTCGAGCCTGGGGCTTGGACTGGCCGAACTCAATGGCTTGCCAAATGTCCTGCCAAAAATTAGAAAGGTTCAGACAGCACAGAGTACAGTGCTCAGGTTTTGGATTCAGGGTTCGAATCCAGGGTTTGAATTCAGGGTTTAAAAACCGGGTTCAGGAGTTTGGGTTTAGAGCTCATGGTTTGGATTGGCGGTTCTGCTCAATCTCATTGGAAAAATTGGATGCTTGTCTGCACACCACTAAAACGCATCTATTGAAAAAACGCCGCTCAAGCTGCCATAAACAGCACCACAAACACCATTCCCCACCACCCGATCCCCATTCACGCCCCTGCTATCACAGCATTGAGGTCGTTCTTGAGGCGCCTCAAAAACGACCCCATTCACGCCCCTGCTATCACAGCTTTCCCCCCTCTTTGATCACGTACCCACTTAGTGTAATCCCTCGTGCGTCTGTTGAGAGTGAATTTCGCCCCTGCTGCCATAAACAGCACCACAAACACCATCATCCCCACCGCTTTCGCTGAGCTCTTCAGCTTCCCAATGAAAATATCCCGCGCCAGGTCAACTGCCACGTCAGTAATAGCATCTCCTGACGCAGTGGCAGCAGAGCCAGTCACCCCCGCTGCTATCCCCCCGCTCCCAAACATCGCCGCCAGCTGTAGCTGCAAGAACCCAAACAAACTGGCGCCGCCCGGAGCGAAAAGACTAGCCCACGTGGCAGTGAGCACTGCTGCTATCTGCTTCGCTACAGCCGCTACAACCCAGACTACAGGCGTCAGCAGGGGTTTCGCCAGGGGCCACAAAACGGATCGGACTATAAAGAGTACGGCGGAGGAGGAGAGGAGAAGGGCGGCGGTGGACGAAGCGATGAGGGCGGAGAGGAAGGATTGGAGAATGGCTGCTAGGATCGAACATTCCAGGAAGATTCGCCCAGAGATGGTAGAGGCTGCTGGGAGGGGCTTAGCTGATGGCACCTCGACAAACGTCTGATGGGGGAGAAGGGGAAAGATAAGGAGGAGATAAGGAGGAGAAAGGAAAGAGGAAAACAATGAAGGGAGATGGGGAAGAGGGTAACGGAGAGAGAAAGGGATGGGTTAACATGCCCGCATGCTGTACCTTGTTGCCAACTCACACATCACATAGCTAGTTTCCATAAAATTGTTTTCACACATAACAGCTCTTACCACGCACACTCTCTTAATTTCCTTCAAGGGCCGCCAGCCCAGCACTTCTGGCACTGCAGTACAGTTCACGCCACCAGTATGTGAAACTTCCACTCCTAGATTCACTATAACGAGTACATGTGAAAGCTCTTACCGAGTACACTGTCTCCACCTCCTTCTGTGGTCCCTTATAGGCCGCCAGCACTGCCGGCACGGACTGTGAGTCCACCTTGAGCCGCCTGCAGGGGGCAAGGAAGCGATTGAGGTAGGGAGGCGGGGGCGGGAAAGAGTAGAGGGAGATGGTGCAGTTAAAGCGGGCCCTAGGGCGACATTAGTCGGTAAGAGTCCACCTTGACCGCCTGCAAGGTGCAAGGAGAGGGGGTGTCGGGTGGGGGGGGAAGAGAAACACCTGGTGAGTACGGGTGAGGTGGCTCCCCCAGCACCTGCTTCAGCTGCACCAGCACGTCCCAGCACTCGAACCAGCACATCCGTGACCATCTAGTCGCCCGCGTTCCCCAGTCAACGGCACGCACAGCCCACACACACTCACCAGGTGTTGGTTTGAAGGGCAGGCTCCCCCGGGACCTCCTTCAGCTGCACCAGCACGTCCCAGTACTCGAACCTCCCATCACGCCTCTTCAACCCACGTGACGTCACCAGCGCCACCTGCCGCTTCCAGCCATTCTCCCCCTAAATAGAAAACCCATCCTTCACTCCCGTCACCTCACCCACACTCACCAGGTGTTGGTTTGAAGCCCGGGCTCCCCCGGGACCTGCTTCAGCTCCACCAGCACGTCCCAGTACTCGAACCTCCCAGCGCGCCTCTTCAGTGCACCCCATTGCACAAACAACGTTTACCCCACACACGCCCAACTCCAATCAACTGTACTCACCAGGTGTTGGTTTGAAGGGCAGGCTCCCCCGGGACCTCCTTCAGCTCCACCAGCACGTCCCAGTACTCAAACCTCCCATCGCGCCTCTTCAGCCCGCGCGACGTCACCAGCGCCACCTGCTTCTTCTCCGCAAAACCCAGAAACTCCGCCGCGCTCATGGGCGGAGCGTCCGCCAGCGCGCGCTCAAACGCGGTGGTTTCCACCACGCGCGGAGCAAACGCCTCCTCTGGAACCACCAGCTCCCCCTTAAACTCGCGCAGGAGATCTTTCAGGTATACTGGATTAGCCTGTTGAGTAGCATCAGCGCCTGAGGAAAATCCCTGTTGAGATTGTTTCCCTTCCTTTCCTTCCCTTCCCTCTGCTGCCACGCCCTCTTCGTCACTCCCTTCCTCAATAATCACCTCCTTATCCACCCCTCCTAAAACCTCCGCCAGCTTTCCCAAGGCCGCCTCACGAGCGCTTTCAATCCCTTCCTCTAGGGCGTTCAAGGCTCGGATGGGCGCAGGTACGGCCCGAGCCTCCGCCTCCTTGAGAGACATCAGCTGCCCGTTCACCCGAACCTGCGGCTCCACTCGGTTCGGCACCCGCTCCAGTAATTCGGTGATTGGATCCCAGTCCTTATCCACGTCAGCCGCTGCTGCTGCTGACGTGCCCTGAGACCGCTTCTTCGCCGCTTTCGCCTTCTTTGCCCCCCCAGCTGCTTTCCCTGTAGAGCCTGATGCTGAGCTGGCAGCTTTCGATTTGCTGCTACCTGCCTTCCACTGTGACGTGGACCCAGACGAGTCTCCCCCTCCCCCAGATGCACCTGCACCAGAAACCGCCGCAACTACACCCAAGGAACCAGCTCTTCTGAGCCCTCTACCCCTTCCGACACCCGCTCCTGCTCCTGCTACACCTGTGCCCTGAAATCCTCCTCCCAATCCTGTGCCTGGATGTAATCCCACACCTCTCCCTAGCTCTATCCTTCCTGGGACCCTTAGACCCTGCCATCCCCACGGGTGGAGGGAGGAGGTTCGAAGGACACTGGCAGACGCAGCAGTGGGAGACGCGGCTGCGGAAAGGGTGGAGAAAGAAGGAGAGCACGTCCTCCCGCGACCGATGGACTGGAAAAGGGCAAAAGTAAGGTAGGTGGGAATCACTTGACAGGAGCGGAGCGGAGGGACATGAACATACAAAACATAGTAACTTGATCATCCCGACTTGCCCATCCCCATTCCTCTCCATCAATGACACGAAAATAGTGACAGGCAAAACGGAATAGCAGTCAACATCTAACGGATATGAGCGGAAAATGATTAAGTGCCTCTCTTGAACAGACCATCAGGATTCACCCATTTGACCCTATTATGAAGCCAAAGCGTACCTGGTGCATGGCCAATGGCTGCCGGCTTGCAGGCTGCTGCGCTACGTGCACACGAGCACAGGGGACGCGTCCAGGGACGACGCATCCTGTAACGCGTACAGGGGAGAAAAAAGCAGCGAGGAAAAATTATTGAGATTACAGCCAACTAACTGGTGACAGGCAGTACCGCATCGTGCAGAAATGATCGCAACACGGCGCACTCGCACTAGAGCACTCAACCATGCCAGTCTGTTCAACAGGCTTCTGAAGGTCCTGATAAACGGTAAATCCTAAACGACCTGAAAGAGCTTGATAATATGAAAGCCGAACGCATGAATTCCATGTGACATAAAAAACTCCAAGCAAATCGATCTTACAAATTGACACAAAAAACCGGGTAAGGTGATTGATTAAAAGTGGGCATACCGCATGGAGGCCGGGAAAGGGATGGTAGCGAAGCCTGCATGGTGACTTCTGCAGTATCAGTGAACGCAAAGTTTCTGCAACAAGGGTTCGAAACACCAGCACAGAAAACCCTAGCTGGTCATTCAGCACCATGAAGAATGGTTCCTCAACGAACTGCACGAAATCGAAGTATGGGTAACTGGTATGGGTACGTGGCTGCGAAATCGCGGCAAACAGCGAACGGAAACTCACTGGCAACTAAAAGGCTAGGCCAAGAAGATTGGGATCGGGAAGTCGTGGCATCGACGGATTGGATCCGACGGTCGAGATCAGACGAACATCCGCGACCGCGGATACTGCGTGAGTTTCCAACGAAAAATACTAGTGAGCGCGATGCGAGCTCCTGGAAACCTGTGCCTGATCAGGTCGATGGGTGCACGCATACAGCAGTCTGCTCCCTCTGCTGACGAGTATCAGACACCTCAAGGACACACGTCCCTTCTCTGAAACGACATCGCATGCACGCTCGGCGTAACAGGTTCGGTGTCAGGAAGAGGATAAGGACGCCGTAGCAGGACTAACAGGCTGGGCGAAAGGAAATACTAACATAACGGAGCCATAGTTTTGAAGTCTCGGCTGGTGTGACTGTAGCGTGACACGCTCGCTACAAGAACAGTCAACACAGCACATTTTCAGAAGTCGGCTGCAAGAATCGTCCCCACCCTCCTCCACCCCTTTCAAAGTTAGCCCAAAACTTGAAACCTCGAAGTTGTCATGCTGAATCCCCTGATTGTCCAGAACAACTGTGAGCGAAGCAGTCAGCCGCACACAATCCCAGCCAACCACTCCCCTCACACCCTCTTGTGGACGCCACGTCACACCGCTGTGCTGGCGAGCCCAGTGATCAGGCGGAAGCCTCTATTGGCTGGTTTCCTTTCTGGCTGGGGCCGAAATTCGGCCTTGTCACTCCGTTGAACGACGCGATTTGTCAGATAGTGTAGGTTAGAGGAAATACACACGGATGATAAACAGAAACCACAACACTCCAGAAAAAAAACAGTCTGATGGCCAAAAAAACATATATCCGAATTTCTCAAATTTTACAAGCCATGATTGTGGTTTTAGTTAATCGAAATTATTATTCTCGTTATGTCACATATGTTATCCAATCACCAGTTTCAACTATGTTTTTTAGATGTACTTTGAAGGTACAGATAATTGCCATGTCGAGTATGTTTAGCCTCCTGAATTCTGCCGAAGCCGCCTGACAGATTTTCGAGTTCATCCATAGAGCCTCACAACACCCAAGCGGTGTCAGTTTCACCAGCTAGTTGTGCTATGCTGGAAGCTATTAGCGGCTCGATTTCCAGGCTCTACCTTCCCCTAGCTGCGCTCCCTCCAGCGTCTTAACGCCCGTTTCTGTTATCGCCGACGGCTCGTTTCACATTTATCTCCTTTCCTTGCTGTCGCCCTGTTTGCCCGATTCTTCGCTCGTTCGGATCCTTTTCCCTTGCCTTGCTGGCTTTGCAGTCACTTCGCCGACATCGTCTACGTTTCGCCGATTTCGCCTTCGTTTCGCTAATTTTGCCTTCGCCTCACCTGGCATGATGGTACCTCCTCACGTGAACTATCTGGCGTTGCACAATATCACATTGACTGTGCGATGCAGTCATTCCTTACTGTCACAGCCGGTAATGTCACGTTCCGTGCCATCCGCGTGTCGGTGGATTCGCGCCGTTGGTGCGCTTGGAATAAAGACACGGAAGAGGCTGTGTTTAAGAAGCACAGCAGCTCCCTCGTTGCATATAGGCTCCTAGTCGTAATTTCCTCAATGAAATTATTCTTCCTGACGAAATTTAGATGACTGGAAAGGACTAGCAACCACGTTATTTGCGAGCCTTATGTATCAGGGCCTTGTTCTCCCGCCAACCACCTGAAGATTCTCCTGGAAGCTGACATTCTAACTGTCAGCCTGGCAGCAGGACAGCCTGACAGCCAGCATCGTCCCTCCAGCATCACCGTCACATGTGCACTTAGGCTTCGTAAATGTGACTCAGTCGCCAAAATCGTGATAATATCATCAATCAGTCGCCGACCAGCGTGCATATCATGATGCCGCAAGCCCAGCAGATCTCACAACAACGCCACGAGGTGCAAGGCCGGCACAATGGCCGTCAAAACGGACGGCAACGACATTGCGCCCTGGACCTCCTCGTTCTCCTTCTTCTCGTTGCTGCACGGTCTCCTGCAGTGGTATCATAGCAGCAGCGGCAGCACCAGCAGCGGCGGCTGCAGGAGGTGAAACCCGTGAGAAGGCCGCTGAAGCCAGTGTGCCGCCTCTCCAAGAGTCGGTTCTCCCTGCAAGAGCATCTGCGGTTGTCAAGAGTTCACATTTTGAAGAAACCAAGGGGGTTCATGGCACCAGAGGGGATGATGCCAAGGGGAATCCTGACATCACAGGGATTCGTCCTACCAGAAGGGCTCATCACTCAAAAGTAATTCATCACAATCACACCAAGGGAGATCTTCACACTGTCGCAGGGAAGTTGAAACAACGGCTGAGTAGGAAGAGGCCACGTGGATGGCCGGCCATTAAGAAGAGGGCACGTGGATGGGCATGCATCAGAAAGAGGTCACGTGGATCCGGCCAACGTGCACGCGCCACGTCATCATTGGAATCAATTCTGCCACTGCTGCCACTGCAGAAGATACAGAGGGGCAGGGGAGAGTGTGGCAAGGGACGGAGGGAGAGGGGCAAGGGCGAGAGAAGCAGGGGTGGGAGGAAGAGTAAGGTCAGCATGGGTAAGAGAGACAGGAGGGTGGGAAGCGGACACAAGTCATCAGCAAAACCACCTGCTCCAATGACTCCTGGTCAGAAGAAACCACCTGCTTTAAGAACACCTGGCCAGAAACCACCTGGACAGATACCACCTGCTCCTATTACTCCTGGTCAGAAACCACCTGGTCCGATCACACCTGGTCAGAAAGCACCTGCTCCTAGTACACCTGGTCAGAAAGCACCTGCTCCTAGTACACCTGGTCAGAAAGCACCTGCTCCTAGAACACCTGGTCAGAAAGCACCTGCTCCTAGTACACCTGGTCAGAAAGCACCTGCTCCTAGTACACCTGGTCAGACATCACCTCATCCACTAACACCTGGCCAGAAACCTCCTCCTGGATCAAGACCACCTGCGAGCCCAGGTTCACCTGGAGGGTCACCAGACCGCCACGTCAGCATGCGGTCGAATCAAGGTGATCCGCAGCAGGCAGCAACAGGCAGCAGCAGCAGCAACACGTCTGTGACTCAGCCGGCAGACAAGACTACAGCTGTAGCGCCAATCTCGGCTGTAGCACCAACTCCAGTGGTAGCACCTGGCGGTGGTGGTGATTCTGCTGGTGCTGCCAGTGCTGCTGGTTTCCTCACCACCACAGCAGCAGCAACGTCGCCTGCTGCGCCCCCAGCTGCTTCCCCCCAGCAGCCCAAACCCAAGTACTTCTACGAGATGGGCAAGATCCGCATGAGTAAGGGGGCGGGGGAGAGGGAGGGTGGAGGAATAAGGTAGGACAATATCTGCTGCTGCCTCTGCGCCCCCAGCTGCTTTTCCCCAGCTCCCCAAGCCCAAGTATTTCATCGAGATGGGCAAGATACGTGTGAGTGGGCAAATGGAGATTTGAGTGACTGTGATGTGAGGTTGGGTCCCGGCGTGAATGGGGAAGGATGGGGGCGTGTGTAGCTGCTGCTGATCTCCTTGTTCTGTGCTCCGTTCTGTCCTTCTCCTTGTTCTCCACCGTTCTGTATCACCTTCCCCGCACCCCACCTGGTTTTTGAGAATTCTAAAAAACCAGCTTGAGAATTCCTAAAGAACCAGCTTGTATCGTTTGTAGATGCTGTTGATCTCCTTGTTTCTTGCTCTTCCACTCTTCTGTCATCACCTTCCCGCACCCCCCTCTCCCCCCCATAACGCCCACAGGTGTCAGGGATTCACACTGCTCTGACTCACTATAAGATGATCCATTAGCTGCTTGTCTCTGCTACATGTAGCTCTTGACTAATGTGTTGCTCTCTGCTGCTCTGTACTGTCTTCACCCTCTCAGGTGTTAGGCATTCACACTGCTCTGACTCACTATAAGACGATCCTTTATATTGACCGCACAGACGTCAGCAACACCTATGCCAAGCTCCCAAACGGAAGGGTAAGTGCCCTGCTCGTACCAGTTTTCCCTCTGAGTTGTTTCTTGTGCAGGGCAGAACTAACTAGCTCCACTCAGTGACTTACAATGTCAAGGGACTCAAATCACATCAGTCAGACCCCTCAAAACTCACATCACAAGGTGGCTCGGATTTTTGAACGTGAGGTCTTATGTCTTCTTTTATTCCCCCATCTTTAACATTTCCATTGGCCCCTGCACTCCCCGCTGATCACCACCCCTTCCCACCCCTTTCCCCTGTTTTAAACGGCTTATGCAGAGGAGAACAGCTTTGAAACGGGGTCACTCGGGGCTCTGGAGGTCAAGTCGAATGTTGTCTGCTCTTCCACCCCATTCCCACGTCCCACCCTCCCCCCCCCCCCCTCCTCCTCTTTCAGACTGCGTATGCAGAGAATTACAGCTTCGATACGGGGTCGCTCAGGGCTCTGGACGTCAAGTCGAAGATCTTCTGCTTCTCCCCCATCTCTAACACCCCCATCTGCTCCTTGCCACCCTACTTGTCCCGCCCTCTTCCCCTCACCCCCTTCCTCTCCTCTTTCAGACGGCTTATGCAGAGGAGTACAGCTTTGCAACGAGGTCGCTCAGGGCTCTGGACGTCAAGCCACCTGTCTGTCTGTCACTCATTTCATATCCGTATCCCCCTCTCCCCCCTCTCCCCTTCTCCTCTTTCAAACGGCTTATGCAGAGGAGTACAGCCATGAAACGAGGTCCCTCAGGGCTCTAGACGTCAAAACACCTGTCTGTCACTCATATCCTAATCTGTCTCCCTCCCCCCTCCACCACCTTCCCCCTTTCAGACGGCTTATGCAGAGGAGTACAGCTTTGCAACGGGGTCGCTCAGGGCGCTGGACGTCAAATCCAACGTCTTCTGCTCTGCGGGTACGTGTTGATCAACGCTGGTCAACGCTGGTCAATGATTGGTCAGTGCATTTGAAAGCTGGTCTGTGTTGGTGAACACTGGTCTTTTCTGGTCAAAGCTGGTCAATGCTGGTCGTCTTCCCCTCTTCTCCCCAACACCTCCAGGTGCCATACCCATACGGTCGGCTCATCAGCATCGGAGGCACATCAGACGCCAATGCCACCAACCTCTCCCTCGCCCCCCCAACCCTCTTCCCCCACCTCTCCAGGAGCCATTGATCCTTTGGGTCGCCTCATCAGCATCGGAGGCACATCAGACGCCAATACCACCAACCTGGCCGACCCTCTCCTGTGTGATGTTCACCTTCACGCCCCCCAAACCTTCCTCCTCCCCACCCTCCAGGAGCCATAGACCCATATGGTCGGCTGATCAGCATCGGAGGCACATCAGACGCCAATGCCACCAACCTGGCCGACCCTCTCCTCGACGGATCTGCCTCCATCCGCTCCTTCACCCCCTGCCCCCCTGCTACTGCTGCCCCCGCTGCTGCTGCTGCTAGTAGTGCCAATAGCAGCAGCAGCAACGGCGGCGGCAGCAGCAGCAGTGGGGGGTGTGATTTCTCCCTGGTGGGACAGATGACCTCCAAGCGGTGGTACCCCACGGCCCAGCTCTTACCAGACGGCCGCATCTTCATTGTGGGAGGGGCCAACGTGTTTGGCAACGTGGCGATCAATTCGGTTCAAAACAACAACCCCACCTTCGAGTTCTGGCCCAGGAAGGACGGAGAAGGTGAGGCGGATGCAGGGTTTTTCCATGGTCTAGTGCGGTTGTGTGGGGTTGAACGGGCGGTGTATGGCAGAAAGGGGTGAGGTGGGGAGAGAGAAGTGGCCTCCAAGCCAAGCGGTGGTACCCCACGGCCCAGCTCTTACCAGACGGCCGTATCTTCATTGTGGGAGGGGCCAACGTGTTTGGCAATGTGGCGATCAACTCAGTCCAAAACAACAACCCCACCTTCGAGTTCTGGCCCAGGAAGGACGGAGAAGGTGAGAGGTGTAGGGAGGTGTTTCCCTGCTTTGTGTGTGGCCGATTGGGTGCGGTTGTGTGTGGTTAGAGAGGGAAATGACCTCCAAGCGGTGGTACCCCGCGGCCCAGCTCTTACCAGACGGCCGTATCTTCATTGTGGGGGGTGCAAATGTGTTTGGCAACGTGGCGATCAACTCAGTTCAAAACAACAACCCCACCTTAGAGTTCTGGCCCCGGAAAGACGGAGAGGGTGAGCTGTTAGGCAAAGTTGTGTCGGCACGGGCATTCCGCCTCCTCTGCTTCAGCCACATGCCTTACCCACGCCTTTCCCTTTCCTTCTCTTTTCCCACTGTCGCATTATCCGTGTCGGGATAGGGATGAGACACAACACAGCACCGCCTCCCCATGCCACTTGTGAGATGTCTCAAAAGTTATCCGTGCCGGGACAGGGATGAGACACAACACAACACCGCCTCTCCATGCCACTTAGGACTACAATACAAGCTGTTGGAAGAGACACTTCCCTACCATCTGTACTTGTGAAGCTGCTGCCTTTGGGCCACCTCTCCCTCCCACTCCCACCCCTTTCATTTCTCTTCCCGACCCTGTCACCACCCTCCAGGCAATCACAAGCTCCGTTTTCTAGAAGAAACACTACCCTACAATCTGTATCCGTTTGTGCACCTGCTGTCTCACTCTCTCCATCTTTCAACCCTTCCATTCCCCCGCCCCTCTCTCCATTGTTCACCTCCAGGCAACTACAAGCTTCGCTTTCTGGAAGAAACTTTGCCGTACAACCTGTACCCGTTTGTGCACCTGCTGCCTTCAGGGCATCTGTTCATATTCGCGGGGCAACGCGCAATCCTCCTCAACTACACCACCAACACGGTATGTGCCCAACCACGCTAAACCACACAGAACCACCGTGAACCACTCTGAATCTCACCAAAGCTCTGCACGGTGGGTGGTGTGTTATCCACTACCCTTTTGTGCACCTGCTGCCTTCGGGGCATCTGTTTATATTCGCGGGCAACGGGCTATCCTCCTCAACTACACCACCAACATGGTACGAGTTCAATCGCATTGAACCGCACTGAATCACACTGGATCACACTGGACCACACTGGGCTACACTGGACCACACTGAACTACTCTGACTTTTGCTACAGTCCTCCACTGCGGGTGGTGTACGCCTATACTGGGTATGCCCCACCTCCCGTGCTAATCTAAGCTACCTTCTCTTTACCTCTCCTTCCTCTCTTCCTCCCTCCCATCTCTCCTAGGTGTATTGCACCGCACCCTTCCCCCTCTCGACGTTTCCCGCTTTGGCCCAGCCAAAACCAACATCTTCCACTCCTCCTCTCACCGCCTCTTCTGTCCTGTCCTTTGCCTCCCTCCCTCCCTTGTTCACCCTGACACCATCTGTGATTCCTCTTCCATCCCTTCAGGTGTACCGCACCCTTCCTCCTCTCGATGTCTCTCGCTTCGGCCCAGCCAACACCAACATCTTCCGCTCCTACCCTGTCACCGGCTCCTCAGCCATGCTACAGCTCTCCTCAGGTACTCTCCTCAATGACATTGAGTCAATGTCAACTGTACTTCTGCCTGTGCTACAGCCGGTCTTTAAAGTATGTTTGTGAGTCATCTCATGCCGCTCCTACCCTGTCACCGGCTGCTCAGCCATGCTACAGCTCTCCTCAGGTACTCTCCTCAATGTCAACTGTACTTCTGCCTGTGCTACAGCCGGTCTTTGATGTATGTTTGTGAGTCATCTCATGCCGCTCCTACCCTGTCACCGGCTCCTCAGCCATGCTACAGCTCTCTTCAAGCAATCGTGCCCGCTGCCGTGCTACAACTCTCCTCAGGTATTCCTGTCTCCTCTGCTACAGCCTTTGTACTGTATGGAATGAGGCGCCTCACACCGCGCCTACCCTGTCACCGGCTCCTCTACCACGCTACAGCTCTCCTCAGTTATTTCCCCTTCATGTCTGTGCTACAGCCTTTTTGTGCCACAACCATTCACCTTCTTCTCACAACGGCAACCAGGATTTTCATCTGTGGGGGCAGCAGCAGCGATGCAGATCTCACCAACGGGGACAACTACACTGGGGCGTGCCTTGGGTGTGCGGCCCGTGGGTCCGTACCTTGTTTGGGATAGACAAAGCGATTCCAGGCATCATATATGCGCTTGTTGAGCTCTTTGAACTGCTTTGCATGTGGAGCTTGCGTTTGGCTTATGCTTGTGCTGAGCTCTCTGACCTACTTCGTCAGCTCAGCGCACGCATAAGCCAAACGAGAGCTCAGCATGCAAAGCAGTTCAAAGAGCTCAGCACGCGCATAAATGATGCCTGGAACCGCTTTGTCTGTCCCAAACAAGACAGCTGAAATCCAGGCGGCATGATGTCCTTCCAGGCGGCATGATGTCCTTCCAGGCGGCATGATGTCCTTCCAGGCGGCATGATGTCCTTCCAGGCGGCATGATGTCCTTCCAGGCGGCATGATGTCCTTCCAGGTCTTGGAAGAAAGGGGGAGCGCATACTGTGAAAGTGACACATAGGATTGGGAGAAGCACACATGGCCCGGCATGAATTGGGTGTGTGGGGCATGCGATATCCCATCCCCATCTCCATCTTCCCCATCTCCCCCTCGCCCATCCAGCTGACGGGTACACGCCCGGGATTCTCATCTGTGGAGGCAGCAGCAGCAGTGCAGACCTCACCAACCAGGACAACCGCACGGGGGCGTGCCTTGGGTGTGCTGCCCCTGAGTTTTGAGGTGTGTTCCCCCTGGGTCCGTGCAATACGAAACTCCCATCTCCCCCTCCCCCTCGTCCATCCAGCTGACGGGTACACGCCCGGGATTCTCATCTGTGGAGGCAGCAGCAGTCAGGCAGACCTGACCAACAGGGACAACTGCACGGGGGCGTGCCTTGGGTGTGTGACCGCTGCTGATGCCCACACTCATTGTTTCTCCTCATTACCATGCTTTCCCCTCACCCGTCCAGCTGACGGGTACAAGCCCAGGATTCTCATCTGTGGCGGCAGCAGCAGCAGTGCAGACCTAACCAACCGGGACAACCGTACGGGGGCATGCCTTGGGTGTGCAGCCCCTGCCGCAGCCACGTGTGGGCTCATTGCGCCCATGGACGCCAACCCCACATGGAGTTATGAAATCATGCCTGTAGCACGGTGAGTGCACAAGCTTAGCAGCCCCCTCTTTGCTCTTCCTGGCCCCGTGCACGTTTCTTGGGTGCCTGCGAAAGTGCCTTGAGGTGCCTTGGGTGTGCTGCCCCTGCCACAGCCACGTGTGGGCTCATTGCGCCCATGGATTCTAACCCCACATGGACCTACGAGATCATGCCTGTGGCACGGTGAGTCCCACGTCCCCCTGCCTGCCCTTGCTGGCCCCGTGAGTGCCCTGTGAGAACGGCAGCAAGGTCATGCATGAGTGCTGCCCCTGCCACAGCCACGTGTGGGCTCATTGCGCCCATGGACGCCAACCCAACATGGACCTACGAGACCATGCCAGTTGCATGGTGAGTGCTGCTTGGCTGCCTGCCACAAGCGTGTGCATGTGTGAGTGTGCCGTGCCTTAGGTGTGTGCTACCCCTGCCACAGCCACGTGTGGGCTCATTGCGCCTATGGACCCCAACCCTACATGGACCTACGAGATCACGCCCGTGGCTCGGTGAGAGGGTGCTTCAATTCCCCTAGTCATGTGTACACACGGACACATGCATTCATCCTCTCCTCCCCCTCCCACTTCCTCATGAAATGACTTGTGAGTCGTCTAGTCATGTGTACACACGGACACGTGCATTCGTCCTCTCCTCCCCCTCCCACTTCCTCACCCTTCCCCCGCCGCCTCTCCATCCGACCCTGAGCAGTGTTATGCCGGATGCCGTGCTCCTATTGGATGGCACGGTTCTGATCTGCAACGGAGGCAGGAGGGGCTTTCAGGGTCTGAAGCAAACGTATGCGGGAGGGGATGTGAGGACACCTGTCATCTACACCCCCTCTAATCCTCCTGGCAAGCGGTGGGTTGCTCTGATTCCACCCGCCGTTGCATTCGTATGTATGTACCACTCCTCTGCCTTGCCTCTGAATCCTACGGCGCTGACGAAGGCCTCGCGGCCGAAACGCGTACGCCTATGTTCTTTACTGAAGTTGGACTTACCAAGTCCCGATTCTACTTTTTTTCCCACTCCTAGTACTCCTAGTTGTTAGTTAGGAACTTTGAGGAGACCACTCCGCTTGCTGCGGTTCGAACCCACATCTTCCTGACAAGCGGTGGGTTGCTCTGAATCCACCCTCCGTTGCACTCGTATGTATGTACCACTCCTCTGCCCTGCTACTCTGCTGTCATGCTGCTCTGCTGCTCCGGGACTTGCCAACTCGAACCTCTTTCTATTCATGCCTCCTATACCCTGCACCCCAAAACCCCAAACAGCTTCTGGCAAGTTCCAAAGTCAAGAAGCTATGCCCGCATGTACCACTCCTCTGCTCTGCTGCTCATGTCTTGAAAACCCTTCCCCTCCCTGTTTCCTAAACCCTGAACCTTCAACCTTGAACTTCTAAACCCTCTACAGCTTCTGGCAGGTTCCAGAGTCAAGATGCTATGCCCGCATGTACCACTCCTCTGCTCTGCTGCTCTGCTCTCTGTCGCTCTGATTTATGTACCACTCTCCCGCCTCCCATTTACAGCTTTTGGCAGGTCCCAGAGTCGAGTCGCTACGCTCGCATGTACCACTCCTCTGCTCTGCTGCTGTGGGACGGCTCGGTGCTGATTTCCGGGTCTAATCCCAACGACCGCCTCACTACTAGGGGAACTTACCCTACTCAATTCGCCGTTGACCGGTTTGCCCCATCGTATCTGCAGTGGGGGGTGCCGAGAAACGTGCTGTGGAAGGTGAGGGGGGGTTGTGGGAAATGGGGAACGCGGGAAGGGGAAGGGAGTGCAGTCAAGTCCGACTTTCAGTCTTGTCGCTTCTCTGCCTTTTCTTATCCACCCTAACTTCTAAGCAGCGCCAACCGTGTTGATGTGTACATTCCATTTCTCCGTCCCTTCACCTTATAACCTTCAGGTACCCTCAACCATTACCTTGAATACTCTCTTCTCAGTCCGCCTCAATACAACTGTAGCAACTCCTTCATCGCTCCCGCGCCTTATCGATCGCTTCCGTGCCGTGCTTGTTCATCCCGGATTTTCAACACATAGCCAACGCATGGGTATGCGAAACGTGCTGCTTGACATATCCATGGTTTGGATTTCGCCGGACAATCGAACTGTTACAGCTGCGATAAGAGCGCCACCTAATAGCAGCATTGCACCGCCGAGTATTTATTGGTTGCATATTCTAGATCAGGGTGATTATCGCGATGCTTTTGGTGCATGGGTGCCGGGAAAGTGGGTTCCCAATTCGGAGGGCCAACCAGTGAGGCTTGTTTAGCGAAAGAGTTCAGCAGTGGAAATGAATATTCTGGCGCGGAATGCATATGCCATCTAAAAAACATTTATCTGCACCTGTACATTGTTCAGGTTGGGCTGTGCCATTGCTTGATTACCGCTTTATGAGTGTGTTTTGATCGCATGTTTACAGTCGATTAGAAAATGTTTCAGTTTATGAGTTTCCACTTCAGTCCGCGAATCACCCTATATCGCAAATCATAGTACTTCTCCCAACCGAGCCCTCCTTCCCTCCTCGCCACCTCCATTTTCGATCTGGCCTCTCGGCCAAATCCTTCACATCCTTCAAATCCGTCAAATCTGTCACTCTTAGAATTCCTACTCCCCTAGGGATTCCTGACAGCCTGATCAACTTTTAGGAGATCGCTGTTCTTCCAGCAGCCGCAGCCATGGCGTCTCTAGGCGCATGCGCGTTCCGATTCGCGCGGCGCTTCGTGGTTTTCTCGCTGGTTCTGGCGTCTCTCGCGTGTATCGGTCAAGCGAGCGAAGATCTGGTCATCGTCAGGGTAGATCGTAAGGTGCGAACTGCTTATTGACGAAAACTATTTGTTACAAATCTCTGGTCATTGTCAGGGCAGATCGAAGTGTTCGAGCCGCTCATTGTCGAAAAGATGGATTTACAGAATAGTAACGATCGATTTTCTGGTTAGTGTCAGGGCAGATTTTAAGGCGCGAACGGCAGATTGTATATTCACGGATTAGTGGACTTGCGCTTGGGCCTACGCAGCCATGCCGCTCGCTATTATCACTTTGTTTACAGGATCTGAATCTGTGTGATGTTGTGCGTTAGATCCGTGGTTTACTGTCGACCGTTAGATCTGAATTGTTATAATCCAACGGCCACGGCCACGGCCACATCGCTAGATCCATACCAGCAAGCATGCGACACAAGCTGTTTGCGGAAATGCTGCTTATGACGGTTCGATGCTCTTTATTACGCCATTTGTCGATTCCCGCGGACAGCACGACTGAATCCATATTACCACATGAATAGCTTTGGTTCTAGTTTCGAATTGTTCAATACATAATGTTTCCAGAATTGACACATCGCTTTTCCCTTCTTTTTAAACGTGTTCTCTGTCGTCCGCGGCTTTACCCTCCCCTTGTTTCCCCCATGTTCTCTCTTATGCAGATCGACCTTCAGACCCATCTTGTCCGCAATTCCGCGACCCTCAAGGTAAGATAATTTCAGCCGATTTGAATTTTCTGCTTTGTGTGCAATGAGACACATTTAGTCCTGTAACAAAAGAAATTGTCTTCCGTCATGTAGATTCATTTTTTTCGGGTGATGCACTCTTTCTAGGTTAACTTGGCAGCAGGACGTTTTTTATTGGAGTGACACGAAGATGTTAGGGGGCAAGAGGTGTATACACGAATGTCGTCTTCAGGAATGTTCAGTATTTTGCTACAAGCAGTACTTGTGCCGGAGTATGCGCGCATGTCTTAGGCGCGGATGTCTTAGCATGCACATATGTCAGCATTCGCGTATGTCTTCGCACGCGCGCATATCTTAGAAGGAGCGCATCTCTTAACATGCGCGCATGTTTCAATTGGTGCGCATGTACGGCAACAGCAGATGATGATGCTCATGTTGATTGCGCAAGGGCTCAGACACAACAGGGCGCTATCCGCGCCCTGCTGTCGTGGAGACACGCACATGCCATGAGGGTTCTGATGCTGATTGCCGAATTGCTCTGTTTTCGATGAGAGTGTGAGTATAGAGGCGTGTTCCTGCACGCATACCAGCAGGGCACTATCCGTGCATTGCTGTCGTGGAGACACGCACATGCCATGAGGATTCTGATGCTGAAATGCTGCTGAACGTGCGGGATGTTGTGTTCTTTTTTTCTGAGTTCTACATTCCAAGCTCTCTCAAAATGCTTTAGCCCGCTTGCCCTTCCTGCTGCCTTTTCTCGTGCCGCATCCTTCCCCTTACCCGATTTTGTCTATTCTGTCCCTTCTTTTCTATTTTTGTCACCTACAGGTGGAGAACGCGGGCTCAACACCTGTCTCTTCGGTCACCCTCGCGCTGCTCGTCCCGCCGCCCGGCCGCCTCGCCTTCGCCACAGCCGTTCTCCTTCAGGGCAAGGCCAAGAGCCGCACCTTCCAGGAACTTCCCCTCACTTCCACCACCCCGGACTCCCCGGTCGAAAACGCGATCTACTTTAAAGCCCAGCTGCCCGCGCCGCTAGAACCAGGGAAAACCGCGCAGATAGAGTGTTACTTCGTGGTGATTAACGCCCTCACGCCTCACCCAGCGGCAATCTCCCAGGCGGACCCGCAGCTGGTGATTTTCCACGACTCGCACTACTTCACCTCTCCGTACCCCGTCCGATCGCAGAGCACCGTTCTCCGCCTCCCCAGCCACCAGATCGAGTCGTTCACGCCGCTGGAACCTTCCAAGAAGGCGGACTCGGAGATCAAGTTGGGACCGTATGAGGGGGTGGAGGCCGGAGCGGTGTCGGCGCTAGCGGTGCACTATGAGAACAACCGGCCGTTCCCGCTGTTTGAGCGCGCGGAGCGGGAGTACGAGATCTCGCACTGGGGGAATGTGTATGTGACGGAGGACTATCACCTGGTGCACTCGGGGGCGAAACACACGGGCATGTTCTCCCGGTGAGTGCTGTGTGGTGGTAGGGATGCATGTAGGGGTATGAGTCTTACGGCAAGAAAGACACAGCACGGAAGAATGGGGGTATGAGGGGGAGTAGGAGGCTTCTCACTGGGGGAATGTGTATGTGACGGAGGACTACCACCTGGTGCACTCGGGCGCGAAACACACTGGCATGTTCTCTCGGTGAGGGCTGAATGAAGATGGGAATGCAGGTAAAGGAATGGGTTTTCTGGCAAGGAAGAGATAGAAGGGCGGAGCGGGAGTACGAGATCTCGCTCTGGGGGATTGTATATGTGACGGAGGACTACCACGTGGTGCACTCGGGTGCCAAGCACACGGGCCTGTTCTCACGGTAAGAAGCGCAGAGAGGCGTCAAAACAGGTGCTAACTGAGAAAAGAGCAGCTGATGGTGAGGGTTCTGGAGTTGCAGAGTCTGATTGGCAGAGGCGCGAAACGAAAAGGTAGCGTTTTCTGGTGCGTTTTCGTTTTGTGCCTCCTCCAGCCAACTTTCCAACTCGGCAACCCTCGTCACCAGATGCTCCGTTTCAGTCAGCGCCTGCGTCACCTTAAGCAGTGCTTGTTCGCGACCCCTAGCCTGTTGGAGTAACTCGCGCTTCAGCTGCCAAACAGTTCTTGCCAGGGCCTTGCATGCGCCTGACATGGTCATAAAAGTCTTCAATCCTGCTTCCCTCCCTTCCCCCTTTCACTCCACCTGCACCCCTCCCTTTCCCCATCATTCCTCCTGCTCCCTTTCCCCCCTCCCCTCCTCCTGCTTCCACGGCTTCCAGTCTGGACTACCAGCATTGCCCCATGGCCATCGGCGTCCCGTCTCTGCGCCAACTGATCTGCCTCACGTTGCTAAACTGAATTACCCCTCCCTCTCCACCTCCACTCCTCCTGCCCCCCTCTTCCTCCTTTCCTCCTGTTGTTCCCATCTATTCCAGTCTGGACTACCAGCACCGGCCCATGGCCATCGGCGTGTCGTCCCTGCGCGGACTCATGGCAGTGCTGCCGGAGAGGGCGCACACGGTGTATTACAGGGACGAGATCGGGAACATCTCCTCCTCGCACCTCCGATACCCACCCAGAAAGGTGTGCAGTGTGGTGCTGGTGGGTGCTACTGGGTGTTAGTGCGGTGTTGGTGGGTGGTGGGGGCTTCATGGCAGTGCTGCCGGAGAGGGCGCACACGGTGTATTACAGGGACGAGATCGGGAATATCTCCTCCTCGCACCTCCGATACCCCTTCAGAAAGGTGTGCAGTGCGGTGCTGGTGGTGCTGGTGGGTGCTAGTGGGTGTTAGTGCGGTGCTGGTGGGTGCTGATGGGGTACTAGTGGGTGCTGGGTGGGTGCTAGTGGGTGCCATAATATGATGTCCTCTTTTCGTGTTCACACCCACCTCATCTCAACTCAACCTCTATCCCTACCCATGCGCCTGCGTATGCCGAAACCCCTCCTCCCTTACCCATGCGCCTGTCAATCCCACACGTTTTTCTCTACCTGTATCCTCCAACACTGGCACATCTAATCCCAAATACCCATCCCTCTCCCGAACCTCCGTTCCCTGAACCTCAGGCCGAGCTGGAGATCGAGCCTCGGTACCCGCTCCTGGGCGGGTGGTCCGTGACGTTCCGAGTGGGGTACAGCGTGCCTCTGGGCGACCTGGTCTCCATCAGCACAGACGGCACTCGCATGCTCAACGCCACCCTCGGCAGCCCCTTTGCTGACGTGCCCGTCAAGCACCTCACTGTGAAGGTGAGATTCTGGGAGTTTCATTGAGAAAGGGGCAGCAGGGGAGGGGGAGCAAGGGAGGGGCAGCAGGGGAGGGGCACCAAGGGAGGGGCAGCAGGGGAGGGGCAGCAGGGGAGGGGCAGCAAGGGGTGGGGGTGTTGGTTGGGTGGGTGGTGGGTGGGAGGAGAGGCGTTTCGAGTGGGGCAGAGCTTTTGCGCCAAAGCTCATGCCTTGTGCCCTCCGTCATCTCCATTTTTGAGTCGACTCAAAAATAGTCTCCATTTCTTAGTCGAGTCAACCATAGACTCACTTTTGCGCCAAAGCTCATGCCTTATACCCTCCGCCATCTCCCTTCCTTGAGTACATCGTCCTCCTCCCTGCCTCCCATAGGGCGGCATCCCTGCAGCTGATGTTCATGCCCTGTTTCGCCTCCATAATGTGCTCTTACTTCCTCCATCCCTCCTCCCGGCCTTCCCTCCCCGCCTTCCCTCCCGACCCTCCCGTTTTCGTCCATATTCGTTTCAAAAACCAGGTGGTGCTTCCAGAGGGCTCCTATGGCATCTCTGCGGATGTGCCCTTCCCCGTGGGCAAGAGCACCGAGGTGAGAGCGAACTTTTGAGTCGACTCAAAAGTCACCTAGGGTTCATATGGCATTTCTGCGGATGTGCCCTTCCCCGTGGGCAAGAGCACCGAGGTGAGAGCAGGGGCGTGATAAGCATGGGGGCATTGGGGCATTGGAGTATGTGGGAGTGTGGGGGTATGGAGGTATGGAGGGTTCATATGGCATTTCTGCGGATGTGCCCTTCCCTGTGGGCACGAGCACCGAGGTGAGAGCGAACTTTTGAGTCGACTCAAAAGTCACCTAGGGTTCATATGGCATTTCTGCGGATGTGCCCTTCCCCGTGGGCAAGAGCACTGAGGTGAGAGCAGGGGCGTGATAAGCATGGGGGCATTGGGGCATTGGAGTATGTGGGAGTGTGGGGGTATGGAGGTATGGGGGCATGCGCGTGAGAGGAGGGTTCATATGGCAATTTTTGCGGATGTGCCCTTCCCTGTGGGCAAGAGCACCAAGGTGAGAGCATGGGTGGGGTGTGAGAAGGTAGGGGAAGGTGAAGGGGGGGATAGGTCAAGGTAGGGGTAGGTGAAGGGACGGACAGGTGAAGCATGGGCATGGGGGCATGGGGGCCTAAGGAGTGGTGCTGGTTTATTGTAATGGCTCACTGATTCTTTCTCATCCCATTCTGTTCCTCCCATCCGTCTCCATGCCTCCCCATCTCTTCCCATACATTCCCATCCCTTTCCATCCCTTTCCATCCCTTCTACCTGCCTGCAGACCAAGTACTCATACCTGGACACGGTGGGGCGCCCTGTGGTGGTGCTGGATAAGAGGGACGTGGTGCCGGAGCAGGGGATCATGCACTTCCAGGTGGGTGAAACGTTTGAGCCCTGTGCTGCATAGCACAGGTTGCCAGCCCATGCACTAGTGTCCGAATGAGCTGTGGTGGTGCTGGATAAGAGGGACGTGGTGCCGGAGCAGGGGATCATGCACTTCCAGGTGGGTGAAACGTTTGAGCCCTGTGCTGCATAGCACAGGTTGCCAGCCCATGCACTAGTGTCCGAATGAGCTGTGGTGGTGCTGGATAAGAGGGGCGTGGTGCCAGAGCAGGGGATCATGCACTTCCAGGTGGGTGTGCTCTGCTTGTGTGCCCAGAGGAAAGAACTTGAATGCCAGTTGGGTGTGGGAAAATGGTCTGTGTAAGCACCCCTGGAAGTCAAACAGACAAGGGAGCAAGCAAGCATAACATCAAACAAACAGCGAAATAAACAAACAAAGCAATGTACAGATGGTTTTGTTTTTAAACCCTCTTTCACGGGTTTCTTTGTTCCCATCAGGTGAAGTACAAATTCTCAAAGGTCGCTCTCCTGACCGAACCCCTTTCCGTGTGACCTGCCCTGTCCCCCTTCCATGCCCTGCTCCGCCCCGCCCCGCCCCGCCCCGCCCCGCCCCGCCCCGCTTCGCCCTTCCCTGCCCTGCTCTGCCTTTTCCCCCCTCCCCCCATCAGGTGAAGTACAAGTTCTCAAAGGTGGCTCTCCTCACCGAGCCACTCCTCCTCATCCTCTTCTTCTTCCTCCTCTTCCTCCTCTTCATCGCCTACACACACTCCGATCTCACCATCTCCAAAACCGCCCCCGCCTACCTCGCCAAACTCCACCACGAGGAGTTTCTCGATCTCATCCAACGGCTCTCGCGCCTCGTGGCCGATCGTGCGGCCCAGATCGAGTCTCTGGACGCAGGGCTGCTGAAGCTGGGGAGGAGTGGGGATGTGGCAGGGGCGAAGGCGGGGAGGAGGAATGTCGAGGCTGAGTTGAAGGAGAGTGGGAGGGAGATCGCGTCTGTCGTGGGGAAGATCGAGGCTCTCCCCAAGGTTCCTGCTGGTCCTCTGCGCACTGTAAGTCCTCAACCATCATCCGTCTTCCTTGTCGCAAGGCCCCCATCTCCCTACCTACCCCTTGCTCCTGCGTACTGTCTTGAGGGAGATTGCGTCTGTGGTGGGAAAGATCGAGGCCCTTTCTAAGGTTCCTGCTGGTCCACTGCGCACTGTAAGTACTCCTTATCCCCCCTCCTTCCTCTTGCAAGCTTCCCACCTCGCTATCCTACTTACCCACGTCCCATCATCCCTCCTCCTTGGGAGGGAGATCGCGTCTGTGGTGGGGAAGATCAAGGTTCTTTCCAAGGTTCCTGCTGGTCCCCTGCGCACTGTAAGTCCTACTTCTCTTCCTTTTGTTTTAGCTGAGTATTGAGTCGAGTGAAAGTAAGGGGGGGGGAGAGAGGCGGGGAGGAGGGCGGTGGAGGGGGAGTTGAAGGAGAGTGGGAGGGAGATTGCTTCTGTGGTGGGGAAGATTGAGGCCCTTTTTAAGGTCCCTGCTGGCCCCTTGCGCACTGTAAGTCCTACTTCCCTTCCTTTTTCTTAGCTGAGTATTGAGTCGAGGGAAAGTAAAGGAGTTGGGGGGGGGGGAGAAGTCGGGCAAATCCTCTCCCCTCCTCTTTCCTCCTCAACTCTCTCCCCTCCCTCCTCTAAGGTGCAAACCCTGGTTGCAAAGGAGGAGCGTGCAGAGAGGGCGGTGGCGAAGCACACGGTGGCGGTGGAGGCATATGAGAAGAAGAGACCCATGCCATTGACCCACTCTCTTCCTCATTCTTCCTCTCACTCTCTTACACTCCGTTCTTTCAGGTGCAAACCCTGGTTGCAAAGGAGAAGGAGCGCGCTGAGAGGGCGGTGGCGAAGCACACTGTGGCGGTGGAGGCATACAAGAAGAAGGCCCCTGCCAAGGAGATAGATTCAAAATTCCCCTCTCCTCTTCCCTGCTCTCCTCCCCCCCTTCTGTTTGCAGGTGCAAACGCTGGTGGCAAAGGAGAAGGAGCGCGCAGAAAGGGTGGTGGCAAAGCACACCGTTGCTGTAGAGGCATACGAAAAGAAGACCCCTGCCAAGGAGATTGACGCTAAGATCGGCCCGATGCAGCAGCGACTGGCTGTTCTGAAAGCAGAGATCAAGGAACTGGTGATGACTCTGGAGGAGTGAAGGGGAGTGAAGGGGAGGGGGTGAAGGGGTATGGGAAGTTGTGGTGGAGAGAGGTATGGAAGAAAAGGTGGAGAGGGGAGGCACAATGGCAAGATTAGCCCGGTTCAGCAGTGACGTCTTTTAGCAGTGATGAAATTGCATTTGGGAAAGTATGCGTCCAAGGTGGTCGACTGGCGTATGCATTTTTCCCATGGTTTGTTGGACCCACTTGTTTGGAGGTACGATTTGTTACATGTTGCTGATTAAATTGATATTCTATGTAATAGAATAAGATTAGGATATTCTGATAAACGTGATCTGGATTAGGTGACACCTTTTCCTCGTTACACTGCGACTCGTGGGCATACGCGGAGAACTTAAAGCCCGATTACAGCATGGTATTTTTCAAGTTCAAGATTCTTGAACTTGAAGTCGCAAAATACAGGGTAACCCGTTTCGGTTTGAAAAATTACTCGCTACTCAGGGACAAGCTCCTGCGAGGGTCACTCCTGATTGGTTTCTGTGACCTGTCGCACAACAGATCAGCCCATCGCCCACAAGGTTGCCTCGATCTCCTCTCACATATCTTGAAGACCTAGTAGTTCTCCTAGTCTACTAGAATACTCACGTAACTAGGAAAAGCGCGGCTGGACGATAAAAGCTAGCTCAGGTAGAATCGTTTTTTCCCGCCCAACACTAGTCACTCCCACTGTCTGGCCAATAGCTGAGCAGCACAACTAGGTGCCAAACGCGCTATTACCGTACCATTTCCGCGTGCCAGACACGGATCCGTTCTAGCGCACGACACGCGCAATGCTCGTAAATGGCATTCCCGAGTCGCGACTCGCGATACCGCTTACATTCCCTCCCGTCGTTTGATCCCTACCACCACTGATCACTCGTCCCTCCTTACCTGCCGCCCTCGCGGCCTCTCTTGTCGTCACGTTCGTTGCCCGTCGTCCCTCTCCATTACCCTCGCGTCTCCTTCCTTTGGGCCACGCTAGGTCCATATTTTGCCTTTCCCGTCACCCTCGTCTCCCCTGGCCGTCGCCCTATTTCGCCTCGTCGACCGTAACTCCACTTTAAATAGCGTTCTTGTTTGCATCAATCTCGCCCGTAATTCCCCGCTTCACCCGTAATTCCATTATCCCCCTTGTCTCCCTCGCTTCCGTTCGTCGCCCGCACGCCGTCGCGATTCCCCACGCCGTCGCGATTCCCCACGCCGCCGCGATTCCCCACGCCGCCGCGATTCCCTACGCCGCCGCGATTCCCCGCGTTGCCGTCGCTCTCGTTTCCCCCCGACGCCCGGATTTCCCACCACGCACCACACGCCTTCCCCCCCACACACAGCACCCACCTCCCTCCCCCCACACCACCCGCCTTCGCCCAACACCACACGCCCTCGTGTTCCTCCTCATACCCGCCCTCCTCCCCCCCTCATACCCGCCCTCCTCCCCCCCTCATACCCGCCCTCCTCCCCCCCTCATACCCGCCCTCCTCCCCCCCTCATACCCGCCCTCCCCCCCCCCACATACCCGCCCTCCTCCCCCCCTCATACCCGCCCTCCCCCCCCCCACATACCCGCCCTCCTCCCCCCCACATACCCGCCCTCCCCACCCCCACATACCCACCCTCTTTCCCCCCACGTACTCGCCATCCTTCCCCCCACATACCCGGGACAGAGGAGGAGCGTGAGAGGGGGAGGGGGAGAGAGGGAGGGACAGAGGGGGAGGGACACACGGGGAGGGACAGAGGGGGAGGGACAGAGGGGGAGGGACAGAGGGGGAAAGACAGAGGGACAGAAACAGTCGGAGAGGGAACGAAGGGGAGGGACGGAAGGGGAGGGAGAGAGAGGGAGGGAGAGAGGAGGAGGGAGAGAGGCGGAGGAGAGAGGGGGAGGGAGAGAGGAGGAGGGAGAGAGAGGGATGGACAGATGGGGAGGGACAGAGGGGGATGGACAGAGGGGGTTTGAAATATGGTGTTGGATGGGAGGGGGTTGGATGGATTGTGTGAGACGGGGGGTGATTTGAAATTGGGGGATTGTGTGCGATGGAGTGATGGCGCATGGGATGAGATGGCGTAGTCTGCACATTGCTCACTCCCGTCCTCTCTTCCTCGGCTCCCTCTCATCCCCTTCTCTGCTTCCCCCCATCCCCTTCGCTGCTTCCCCCCATCCCCTTCCCTGCTTCCCCCCATCCCCTTCCCTGCTTCCCCCCATCCCTTTCCCTGCTTCCCCCCATCCCTTTCCCTGCTTCCCCCCATCCCTCTCTCTGCTTTCCCCCATCCCTTTCCCTGCTTCACTGCCGCTATCCCTCATTCCTCGCACCTTCCCTCACTCCTTCCCACCCTCTCATTCCTTCCCGCCCTCTCTCATTCCTTCCTTCACTCTCCTTCCTCCCACACTCTCTCGCTCCCACTCCTCTCGCACTCTCTCTCTCCGTCCTCTCGCACTCTCACTCTCCTTCCCACCACCCTCAGCCCTCCTTCCCCCCACCCTCTGTCCTGTTCCCACCTGCCTTCCCAATCCCTGCCTTTCCCTCCCTGCCCTGCCCTTCCCTTCCCCATCCCTTCTAAACCCTTTCCTTCCTTTTCGTGCCCTCCCCTCTCCCCTCCATCCTCACCTTCCGCCCTTTGGTTCCCATGCATGTGCACCCATCAATGTTTCTCCATACATGCTTTCATCATTTGCGCTTGCTTGTACGGTATCCCTTGCCGTTGTTCCCTTGCACCTCACACCACCTAACCCATGTTCCTTCACACAATTCTTTCTGCCTACTCCACTCTACCAATTTTCAGTGGTGAAGCAGAGGAGCAAGCTGAGGCACAGCTAGTCAATGCTTTACACCGTCCCACCACCTGCTTCTTGTGTGTTGTATGCAACAACAGATACTCCGTAACTGTTGGAAATATCCATCTCAATGACTCATTATGTAGAGTGCAAGATATTCTTACAAGATGCATGGACACTAAGAGTGTCAGAAGGGTAACTTGAGGCATGTTCCTAATACTTCTGAGAGAGGCCTTGAAATAACACGAGATGAACTGGTTGCTCTACGAGTATGGCATGGGATGATGGGCTGAGGCGAGTTGCAGTATCAGAAAAATCTTCAGTGTAGTCACTGCAATAGCGAGGGTGAGGGAGACAATACGAGGGATTGGAAGGGGGAACAAGAAAAGGTCAAACAGGGGAGATATGGGAGATATGGGAGAGCAGGGAGGGTAATGATGAGAAGCATGGAGGGACATGATGAGAAGCATGGAGGGACATGATAAAAAGCAGGGAGGGAAATGAGTGGCAGCAGCGGGGTAAATGAGGGGAAGCAAGGGAGGAAATGAGGGGAAGAAAGGGGGTAAAGTAAATGAGGGGAAGCAAGGGAGGAAAGGCGGGACAGAGAGGAAAGGGGGAAGTGCGGAAGAGAGGAAGGGTGCAAGTGAGGAGATTGGACGAGGGAGGGAACAAGGGTCTAGAAGGGAGGGAACAGGAGGCTAACATGGGAGAAGCAGGGGGCTAGCAGGGGGGCAAACGAGGGGATAGGAGAGGGGAAGAGGAGGAGGAGATAGGAAGAGGGGGTGGAGGAGAAAAGGGGAGAGAATGATTCGGGGGGATAGGGAAGATGGGAAAGGGAGGGAAGGAGATTGAACGAGGGAGGAGAGGAACAGCGGCAAGCAGCGGGGGAACATGAAGGAGAGGAGAGGGAGAAAGGAGGCGAAGCAAGGGGGGAAAGGAGGCGAAGCAAGGGGGGAAAGGAGGCGAAGCAAGGGGGGAAAGGAGGCGAAGCAAGGGGGGAAAGGAGGCGAAGCAAGGGGGGAAAGGAGGCGAAGCAAGGGGGGAAAGGAGGCGAAGCAAGGGGGGAAAGGAGGCGAAGCAAGGGGGGAAAGGAGGCGAAGCAAGGGGGGAAAGGAGGCGAAGCAAGGGGGGAAAGGAGGCGAAGCAAGGGGGGAAAGGAGGCGAAGCAAGGGGGGAAAGGAGGCGAAGCAAGGGGGGAAAGGAGGCGAAGCAAGGGGGGAAAGGAGGCGAAGCAAGGGGGGAAAGGAGGCGAAGCAAGGGGGGAAAGGAGGCGAAGCAAGGGGGGAAAGGAGGCGAAGCAAGGGGGGAAAGGAGGCGAAGCAAGGGGGGAAAGGAGGCGAAGCAAGGGGGGAAAGGAGGCGAAGCAAGGGGGGAAAGGAGGCGAAGCAAGGGGGGAAAGGAGGCGAAGCAAGGGGGGAAAGGAGGCGAAGCAAGGGGGGAAAGGAGGCGAAGCAAGGGGGGAAAGGAGGCGAAGCAAGGGGGGAAAGGAGGCGAAGCAAGGGGGGAAAGGAGGCGAAGCAAGGGGGGAAAGGAGGCGAAGCAAGGGGGGAAAGGAGGCGAAGCAAGGGGGGAAAGGAGGCGAAGCAAGGGGGGAAAGGAGGCGAAGCAAGGGGGGAAAGGAGGCGAAGCAAGGGGGGAAAGGAGGCGAAGCAAGGGGGGAAAGGAGGCGAAGGAAGGGGGGAAAGGAGGCGAAGGAAGGGGGGAAAGGAGGGGAATCAGGGGGGGAAAGGAGGGGGAGCAGGGGTGGAAAGGAGGGGAAGCAAGGGGGGAACGGAGGGGGAGCAGGGGGGGAAAGGAGGGCAAGCAAGGGGGATCAGAACCAATTTCCCCTGCAGACGCAGCCTTTCTTCCGCCTCTCCCCTCCCTCTCCGCCTTTGGAGAGGGCAGAGCGCAGGGGGCAGAGCGCAGGGTGCAGAGCGCAGGGTGCAGAGCGCAGGGGGCAGAGCGCAGGGTGCAGAGCGCAGGGTGCAGAGCGCAGGGTGCAGAGCGCAGGGTGCAGAGCGCAGGGTGCAGGGGCGCGGAGCACTCGTACCTGTCCTGGCGTGGTGGTGCCTCGTTCCAGGGCCCTCTCCGCGGCCGCTCTTCCCTGCACTTCCAGCACCATTTCCCCCACCACCACGGGCGCGCCCAACCCCGCGAAAACAGAGCAAGGCGCGGGAGAAACCGCGATGGGGGGAACGGTGAGCGGAGGCGCGGCGAGGCGAGCAGAGGAACGACGAGGGGATGCTTCCAGAAACGAGGGGAGGCGTGACGATGAGAGGAGGCGCGGCGAGGGGAGGCGCGACGACAGGAGGCGAGGCACGAGAGGATGCCCGACGAAAGGATGGGTGGCGCGAGGGAGGTGGCGCGATGGGCGGAGGAACGCGACAATAGGAAGCGCGACGATTGGAGGTGCTCGAGGGAAGGGGAGGCGCGTTCTATGAGCCACTCAGGGAGGTGCGTGGGCAGGCATGGTGAGGTGGCTTCACTCACGCGCTTGTAGAGTCCCCAAACCCAGGCGTATTTTATGCTGCGCTGCGCTACCTGAGTAGGTGGAGTAGTTAGCTCGATTGAAGCAGTATTGATCGTGGTGTTTATTCTCCTCACTCGTTCTGAGGTTGTTGGAGCTTCCCGACTTCGTTTATGCTAGTCGTTGCATCGTGCGTGGACATACTCCACTACGTAAACCTGATTGGCTGAAGAACAATCCGTGCGACACTCCTTCCAGTCGCCCGACGCTGTTTTGCAAACTTGTCAAAGCTGCACAGTATCGTCTACCATCGCTTCAGGTTTGGCGAGACCCCTTTTCCCCTCGTCAGTCAACCCCTTTTTCGCTACACTGACCTTGCCGAAATTTTTGTTTCCAAGGTTTCGCCAACACTATTTCAAAATCCGCAGGGTTGCTTGCAAGTAACGGGATTGATTCTCGTTGCGCAGCGCCGCATCCTTCGTTTCCGTTCCGTACTGCCGTAGCGCTGCGGCTCGGTGACGTTTCAGCCGATTTGTAGGAGAATCTGATCTGATTACGCGGAGCGGATTCGATCCGGAGAAGCTGAATGCGCGGATCGGATTGTGCGGAGCGGAATCAATCTGGGGAAGTTGGGTGCGCGGATCGGGTTGGGGGAGTTTATTGCGCCGCGAGCTGAAGTGCCGACACGCTTTCGCCTTTTTCTCCGGTGTAACCATGGCGTCCGTCGAGCCGCCTTCTGCGGCAGGAACTGCCCGCGCCACTGCGAATCCCGGAGCCGCAGAAACGGCGTCGGCTAGCCAACACTCGGAGTTTAAAGCCCAAACTTGGTACGACGTACAGCGGAACGCGCCCGCGGGTAGTAGTGATCTCCGCGGCGGCGCGGGCGCGGGCGGGGCGGAAGGCGGAGCAGCGGCGGAGGGGTTCTCTGCGGCGGCGGTGCTCCGCCAGGCGGAGCAGCAGGCGGCGGATCGCAGGCGCGGCGCAAGGCTTCGCGCCGCTCCCCCGGTGTATTTCTTTCCGCGGAGGTCGTGGGGTGTGACTGTAGCGAGATACGGCGCGGTTTTAGCGGCGGGATTGGCGGCGGGAATGGCGCTAGAGACGTGGATTCGACAAAAGGTGGCAGGTATGAGACTGCGGGGGATACTAGGGGTGGGAGTTTGACTACAGGGGTACCAGGTTTAAGGTACAGGGTACAGGGTACAAGGTGTATGGGGGTATGGGTGTATGTATGTATGGGGGAACCCAGAAAAGGGGAAGTGGACCTGATTAAGGGGGAGGCTGGAGGGGCTAGTATGGAAGGGGAAGGGGATATGGGATAGTGTTGAAGGGAGATGGGGAAGTGGAGAAAGAGAGTGGAGAGCGGGAGGAGGAGAGAGGGGAGAAGGGAAAATAGGAAATCAGGGGATTTATAAGAGTATGCCACCAGGCTATTTGTCCTTACTCCCCTTCTGCACCCCTCCGTACTGCTCTGCACCCCCCTGTCACCGCTGTGTGCGTTGGTCTAGACGTTTTGGGTGAGGAAATCGGAGCAGATTCAGCAGCAAATGTTTCTTTCTGCCCCTTTGTACCGTTCTGCAACGTTCTCTGTTTTCTTTCCTGTGTGTCCAGAGGACGGTGGATATGTGATGGGGAAGAAGGAAGCAGCAAAGCATTAATTAGGGCGTAAATCTTTTCACACCTCAGCAATCGTCTCGTTATAAGCAGATCAGCACGATCAATGCAACGTAGCAGACGGTATTCATTTCTGCAGGTTTTTGTCAGCTTCGAGTTCACTACCGTGTTTGAGAACTGCTAGTGCATTCACACGCGATACGTATTGTAAAAGGGTAGCGGAATCAGAGTTTTATAGTAAAAATTATTTCACAAGATTTGGTATCTTACTACATCTAACCCAACACTTCCTTTCCAAACTCCATTCACTAACAATCTTGTATCACATTCACCTAATGCAAACAGCCAAACAAAACCCGCTACAGTAATCCCTACACAGGTCACTCCTAAACTCAGACATGCCCTCTAATCCTACACTCAAAGAAGCACTCTAATTCCCAGCACAAGTTACATCTATAGCGCTTATCCCCTCCCCACCATCCCAGTAACTGCCTGACTTGGGTGTTGATAAGACTCTTTCCCCATCTCCGATGGGAGTGGTGCCGTACCTGCATGATCCTCCGAACCTGCACGTCCGGAACCGCACTTACAATACCAGCAAGCTGCCTGAGGCCTCTGGGGTAGGCTCGGCAGGTGTTTCTAGCTTAGGTGCTCTTCAGACATTGGGGGCTTCTTTGGATGGTGGTACTGGCACGATCCTCCAAACCTGACTACGAACCTGCCTCCGGACCTGCCTCCTGAAGCGCCTCAAAGGCCGTTTCTAGCTTTGTGTTCATCAGAAGCTGCCGTCTTCTTTGGATGGTGGTACCGGCATGATCCTCCGAACCTGCACGTCCCAGTCCGCATGTAGTACTGGCAGACCGGTTGTCCGAGCCTCTCTGGCAGGTTCGGGCAACCTGCTGCTGCTGCTGGCACTGCTGCTGATGATGCTGCTTCTGGCGCTACTGCTGCTGCTGCTACTGCTGCTGGCGCTGCTGCTGTTACCGCTGCTGGCGCTGCTGCTGGTGCTGGTGGTGGTGGTGCATCTGCTGGTGGTGGTGGTGCTTCTGATGGTGGTGGTGGGAGGACGGCATGGGGGACCACTAGAGAGAAGAGATGAGCAGAGGCAGTCGCAGCACTAAGAGAAGCATCAAGAGGAGGGGCATAAGGAGCAGCAGGAGGAGGAGCAGGAGGAGCAACAAGAGGAGCAAAGGTAACAGCAAGAGAAGGAGCAGTGGCAGGAGCAGCAGCAAGAGCAGCAGGAGCAGCAGCAAGAGCAGCAGGAGCAGCAGAAGGATCAGGAGGAGGAGCAGCAGGCCAAGGAGGCGGGAAAAGTGGGGCAGCGGTGGTAGCAAGAGCAGCGGGAGGAGGTGCAAGAGCAGGAGCAGGAGGAAGAGTAGAGGGAGGAAGAACAGCAGGAGCAGGAGCAGGAGCAGGAGCAGGAGCGAAAGAAGTACCTGCAGAGGGATTAGTGGCAGGGTATTGAGGGTAGTAAGGATAGTGAGGAGGATACTGGGGGTGGTGCGGGTATTGAGAAGGATGGTGGGGGTATGGAGGATAAGGGGCAACTGAGGATGCGTAGGGGAATGCTGACGTCATGTAGGGTCCTGATGACGTCATGTATGGGGCTGATGACGTCGTGTTGGAAGCTGATGATGACGTCATGTAAGGGGATGATGAGGTCATGTAGGGCCCTGGTGGCGTCATGTAAGGGCCTGATGACGTCATGTAGGGACCTGGGGATGCGGCGTATGAGGAAAGCATCTCTGATGCGCCTGCATATCCTAGTCCCATGCCCGTACCCGTGCCCATGCCCACGCCCATGCCCATACCCACACCCATGCTGACTGTTTGATTTGGGCTGGGACTAGGTATTACACTTCCCCCACCTCCCCCACCTCCCGCACTGCCGCCCCCTCCTCCCCCACCACCCCCTTGCTGCATGGGTTGGTAGTACTGATGCTGGTGCTGATGCTGGGGATGGGGAGGGGGTAGGGGCTGGGGTTGAGACTGTTTCGGCTGATATTGTGGCTGCTGCATGTATTGCTGATACTGTTGGTGGTAATGCTGCTGGTACTGCTGCTGATACTGTTGCTGGTATTGCTGGTATTGCTGCTGATACTGCTGCGGATACTGCTGATACTGCTGCTGTTGTTGCTGCTGCTGCTGGTACTGCTGCCTCTGCTGCCGTTTCTTCTTCTGCCCCTGCGCCTTGCTCCCCTGCGTCTGAGTCGTCTCAACACCAGACCCGTGAGTCCTCTCACCCCCTGCTGGCCTAGTCACAACAACACCTACCTCACCCCCTTCTGGCCCAGCCACATCACTCACCGCTTGCTCTTGACAATCATTCCCCCCAGCCTTCCCATCTGTTTCCCCACCTGACTCTCTAGCCACGCTCTCTGGGCTTTCCTGGTTCAGATGGCCTTGCAATGTTTCACCCCTTCCTGCGGCTGCTGCTGCTCCAGTACCTGCTCCCCGTCTAGAGCTGGTAGCAGCTGCATCTGGGCCCTCTGCCATTCCACCTGAACTTTCACCTGACAGTTCACCTGAAATTTGACCTGAATTTTCTCCTGGCTTTTCACCTGACGTTTCACCTGAGTTTTTACCTGGGTTTTCACCAGCATCAGCAGCAGCCGCATCATCAGCAGAAATGATTGCTTCTTCCTTCCTGGATGCTTCCCCAGGAACGATGCTGCTTGCCTGTTGCTTAACTGCCTCCTCTGCTTCTGCCGTGTTTGCTCCTCCAGGGTATGACACCTGCACCTGCTGCTGCTGGGACGGCTGTAGCCGGGACGGTTGTAGCTGGGACGGTTGTAGCTGGGAGGGATACTGGTAGGAGGGATGCTGCTGGGACGGCTGTTGACCAAGAGGACTCTGGAGCTGGGGAGAAGGATGTAGCTGTGAGGGATGCAGCCCCATCGGCGCGTGCAGCAACTGGGAAGGATGCTGCTGGGAGGGATGTAGGCCGATTGGTTGTAGCGGAGGCGTGTGTAGGTCTGGGTGATGGAACTTGCATGTTGCTCCGAACTTGCACCGCCCCGTTCGAAGGAAGAAGGCGCATTCTGTCTCGCCCTGTGTGTGGCGGTGATGGGGAAAGAGAGGGATGGAGGGGGGGGATTTGTCGGGGTGGTGAAACTTGCATGTTGCTCCGAACTTGCATCGCCCTGTTTGAAGGAAGAAAGCACACTTCGTATCACTTTGTGGAAGAAAAAGAGTTGGGTTGAGGGGCATAGGAAAGAGAAGAGGGGTGTAGGAAAAAAGCAGCAGAAAAAGGCACTTAAGGTGATGTTCTTGAGAAATCCCAAAAGCATGTACCTGTCATGAACGGTGTACTCACTTTTACTCAGGTTATTCTGAAAGTCGCCCGGTTCTCGACCAAACAACAGTGGGCAGGTAACTGTGCGGTGCTCACCGGTCAGAGGGGGTAGCCGGGGGTGTTGAGAGGCAGGTGGGAGGAGCCGGTAGGCGCTGAAGCGAGTAGGGCAAATCAAGCGCAAAAGAAGACTGAGCAGCAACCTGTGTGTGTGTGTGCGTGTGTGTGTGTGTGTGTGTGTGTGTGTGTGTGTGTGTGTGTGTGGTGCGTACCGGTCTGAGAAGGTAGCCGAGGGTGTTGAGAGGCAGGTGGGAGGAGCCGGTAGGCGCTGAAGCGAGTAGGGCAAATCAAGCGCAAAAGAAGACTGAGCAGCAACCTGTGTGTGTGTGTGTGTGTGTGTGTGTGTGTGCGTGTGTGTGTGTGTGTGTGTGTGTGTGTGTGTGTGTGTGTGTGTGTGTGTGTGTGTGTGTGTGTGTGGTGCATACCGGTCTGAGGGGGTAGCCGAGGGTGTTGAGAGGCAGGTGGGAGGAGCTGGTAGGCGCTGAAGCGAGTAGGGCAAATCAAGCGCAAAAGAAGACTGAGCAGCAACCTGTGTGTGTGTGTGTGTGTGTGTGTGTGTGTGCGTGGGTGCATGCGTGCGTGCGTGCGTGCGTGCGTGTGTGTGTGTGTGTGTTTAGGGTGAAAGGTGCCTGTGTGGGGGTGGTGAAAGGTGCAGGTAACTCCGTTCTTACAGGTACCTGTGTGTGCGGTGCTCACCGGTCTGAGGGGGTAGCCGAGGGTGTTGAGAGGCAGGTGGGAGGAGCCGGCAGGCGTTGCGGCGAGTAGCGGTGGGTGGTGAAAGGTGCAGGAGGGACCGTACTTGCATGTGCCAGTCTTGAGATAGTACTGGTAGGAGGGAGGAGGGAAAAGGGGATGTCCATGAGGAGGGGATACCATGCGATGACATGCGATGACATGCGAGGGTTCAAAAAAACGACCGTTTTATTGAAATTTCACCGTAAAAAACGGTACCGTAAAAAACGGTCGTAAAAAACGGTTTAAAACGGTTCCAGGATGTGTTTCCTCTATAACTAACAAAACGGCCACTTATTGGGACCAAATTGAACCCGAAATGCAGCAGCATGAAGGGGATGGACCCCTTCTTGCATGTATGCGCTTGTTGGCATGATCGAAAATGTTTTTGACCTTTTTTTTTCTTTTTTTTTCTTGGTGAACAGAGATCTCTAACAAAAAAACGGCCGTTTTTTTGAAAAATCACCGTAAAAAACGACCGTAAAAAACGGACCGTATTTTACGAAAACCGTAATTTTGAACCTTGCATGCGATGGCATGCGATGGCATACGATGACATGCGATGACATGCGATGACATGGGATGACATACGATGACATGCGATGACATGCGATGACATGCGATGACATGGGATGACATGTGATGACATGTGATGACATGTGATGACATGTGATGGCATGAGATGACATGCGATGACATGCGATGGCATGTGACGAGATGTGACGGCATGTGACGGCATGTGATGGCATGGGATGGCATGCGATGACATGTGATGGCATGTGATGACATGCGATGGCATGTGATGACATGCGATGACATGCGATGACATGCGATGACATGTGATGACATGTGATGGCGTGTGATGGCATGTGATGGCATGCGATGACATGCGATGACATGCGCTGACATGCGATGACATGCGATGACATGTGATGACATGCGATGACATGTGATGGCATGTGATGGCATGCGATGACATGTGATGGCATGTGATGACATGCGATGACATGTGATCGCATGTGATGACATGCGATGACATGCGATGACATGCGATGACATGCGATGACATGCGATGACACGCAATGACATGCGATGACATGTGATGACATGTGATGACATGTGATCGCATGTGATGTCATGGCATGCGATGACATGTGATGGCATGTGATGTGATGGCATAAGATGGCATGTGATGTGATGGCATGGGATGGCATGTGATGTGATGTGATGTGATGTGATGGCATGGCATGGGATGGCATGTGATGTGATGGCATGTGGCAGGAGAGAAAAGGACTCTCACCTTGCACTCTGTTTGCCCTGGTCGTTGGGGATAGGGCGTGGCTGGGATCAGCGGTTGCATTGCCTGGCATGAGATGGGGTGGGATGTGAGGTGGGGTAGGATGCAGTGGGGTGGGATGGGATGGGATGGGATGGGATGGGATGGGATGGGTTGGGATGGGATGGGATGGGATGGGATGGGATGGGATGGGATGGGATGGGATGGGATGGGATGGGATGGGATGGGATGGGATGGGATGGGATGGGATGGGTTGGGATGGGATGGGATGGGATGAGGATGGGATGGGATGGGATGGGATGGGATGGGATGGGTTGGGATGGGATGGGATGGGATGGGATGGGATGGGATGGCATGCCATGGCATTGCATGGCATGGCAAACAGCCGTCACATACTTGCCTTTTAGTGGACTCACAACAATCTTACCTCTAGCCCCGGAGGGTGGTTGAAGCGGCATCTGGATCCGTAAGCGCAACTCCCCGTTCGCGTGTAATACGCACACTCCTGCTCCCCCATACACTCCTGTTCCTACTCTTGCCTTTGAATCGACTCACAACGATCTTACCTCTACCCCCGGAGGGTGGTTGAAGCGGCATCTGGATCCGTAAGCGCAACTCCCGGTCCTCATGTATTACGCACACTCCTGCTCCCCCGGCTGCAGCATACGTACATCTGAGCTGAGTGACACGAATCTTACCTCTAGCAGTCTGGGAGGGTGGTTGGAGCGGCATCTAGGCCCATACGCACAGCTCCCCGTTCGCATGTAATACGCGCACTCCTGCTCCCCCGGCCGCTGTGGTACTCACACCTTCCAGTCAGCTCAAAACAATCTTACCTCTTATCTGGGAGGGTGGTTGAAGCGGCACCTTGAGCCATATGCACAGCTCCCGGTCTTCATGTAACACGCACGCTCCTGTCCTGTTAGCACTCTCCTGCTCCCTTACTGAGTGGCATGCTTACCTCCAGCCTGGGAGGGTGGTTGAAGCGGCACCTGGGCCCATACGCACAGCTCCCGGTCCTCATGTAATAAGCACACTCCTGTAAGCACACTCCTGTAAGCACACTCCTGTATGCACACTCCTGTAAGCACACTCCTGTATGCACACTCCTGTATGCACACTCCTGTATGCACACTCCTGTATGCACACTCCTGTATGCACACTCCTGTATGCACACTCCTGTATGCACACTCCTGTATGCACACTCCTGTATGCACACTCCTGTATGCACACTCCTGTATGCACACTCCTGTATGCACACTCCTGTATGCACACTCCTGTATGCACACTCCTGTATGCACACTCCTGTATGCACACTCCTGTATGCACACTCCTGTATGCACACTCCTGCCCCCACCCCGGCCGTTACATGCTTGCCTTTAAGTGGACTCACTCACAGCAACATTCTTACCTCTAGCAATCTAGGAGGGTGGTTGAAGCGGCACCTAGGCCCATACGCACAGCTCCCACTCCTGCTCCCACCCAGTCCCACCCAGCATACCCACTCCAGCTCCCCCGGCCGCTTCATACTCGCTTTTAAGGCGACTGACACGAATCTTACCTCTAGCAGTCTAGGAGGGTGGTTGAAGCGGCATCTAGGCCCATACGCACAGCTCCCCGTTCGCATGTAATACGCGCACTCCTGCTCCCCTGGCCGCTGTGGGTACACTGGCGGAAGCTTCCCTGAAGCATCCCAATCCTCCCTCATTCTTCCACCCCCACTACCACCACCACCACCACTGCTACTGCCACCACCACCACTGCTTCCTCCTCCTCCTCCTCCACCGCCTCCCATCTCAATCCCTCTTCTCTCGTTGAAGCTCCTGCTACTCCTCTGCACTCCTCCTCCTCCCCCCCCTCCCCCCCCTCCTCTTCCTCCCCCGCCTCCCTCCCCGCCTCCCCTGCTGTAGCTGCTCCCAATGCTCCCCGTGCTGCTGCTGTGACTGAGGTTTCCCGGATAAACCAGTGACCTCCCCCCCGTGCTGCTGCTATTGCTGAGGTTTCCCGGATATATCAGGGACCTCCCTGTGCTGCTGCTATTGCTGAGATTTCCCGGAAACACAATAGAATGGGGGAAGCCTGGGGCAAAGTAAGGAGAAGGGATGACGCCCGAGGGAGGGAGAGAGGGAATGAGGGAGGGGAGGGTCCCGTAGGAGGAAGCGGGGGAATAAGCGTAGATCTGAAGTGGTGGAGGCCCCATGCTTCCTGCTCCTGCTGCTGCTCCCACCGCTCCTGCTGCTGCTGCTGCCGCTGCTACCGCTGCTGCTGGTGGCGTTGCTGATGTTGCTGATCCTGCTGCGCCTGCTGCTGCTGCTCCTGGTGGCTGCATCAGTGTTTGCAGCAGCGGTACTGCTCGCGGCAGCACTGCTGGCATTACTGTTCCTCCTGGTGTTTCTCCTGATGTTTCTCCTGATGCTCCTGGTCGGTGCTCCTGGTGCTGCCAGAACATGGCTGGGTAAGCCATTCTAGGGCCTGGAATAACGGAAAATGTGGAAAGGAGAAGGAGAAGGCTATTTGAGGCGCCTCAAAAGTCTCAGAATACAGCTGGATAAGCCATTCCAAGAGCAGGAAGAATGGAAAATAGGGAAAGGAGGAGGAATGAGCAAGGTGCGTTAACACATCGGATTCGAACAGCAGAGCAAGAGCGACATCAGCTTAATGACAAAATGATGAAATAAGGCTTCCTTCCCAGTTGAAGTAATAAATTTGTCAGCTCACGTGATGCAGATCCCTGTGAAGTATCACACCCACCTGAAGACCACCTGAAGGAGCACCTGAAGGATCACCTGAAGAACCACCTGAAGAATGACCTGACGAACCACGTGAAGGATCATCCAACCACCTGAAGGATCACCTGACGAACCACCTGAAGGAGCACCTGAAGGACCACTTGAGGGATGGTCTCTTATATTACACAAGATCTGACGGGGTCACCTGAAGTATCACCTGAAGGATCACTTGACAATTACCTATGATTGTCTGATAGCCTTCAGCTCCTGCCCCATCCAATGTAGCTCCTGTTGTAGTCGCTTCAGCTCCTTCTAATGCACCCTCTTTAAACGTTATATTCACAGCAACTCCGTCGCTCTCCCTGTCCAGTGCGTTATCTTCCCCCATTCGGGGGAGGCTGGTGTAGGGTTAACTGCTGCTGCCTTTTACCAAGGTTGTTCTGGCTCCCCTCGGTAGGCGAGCCGCTTCCTTGCTCTGTCTGTAGGATAAAGGAGTTAGCAAGCGACGTAGGTCCAACTGGGGAAGGCAGAATGCGGAGCAAAGGTGGGTGGATGTAGATTCCAGACTCCAGATTACTGCTGCTTGCTTGCGGATCACAACTGCCGCCAAATGATGGGTAAATTACACAGCTGATTCCAGATGATAGCAGGCCGCGTGCGATGTCAGATCACATTTGCCGCGAAATCACGTCTGCTTTGCTTCCAAATCGCATCTGCTTCGGTTCCAGATCAAATCTGCTGCCAGGTCACGTCTGCTGCCAGATCATGGCGGCTTGGATCATTTACTGGAGCCTTCGGGATTCCGTTGGGATATCTGAGAGAAGGTGAAGTAGGACGTTAAGCAGGAGCTGCTGCTCTCAGTTCTCCCAAGTCCAGCCTGGGTTTTCATCAAAAGGTGAAGCTGAGCTTTCCGTGACGTTTGAATCTTAGCTCTCAGTGAGCAATTTCACATTTATTAAATCGCCTGTGAACAATCTCAAGAGATCTCAGGAGATTCGGGAATTTCTACTATACACTGAGACTGTCAGCTCGTGGCATCAGCCCTCTGTGACTTATCTTAGCTGTTAATGAACGAGACTATATTTATTTCGTGGCCTGTGAACAGCCATTGGGAGATC